GCTTGATTATGAAAAAAAAATGTTCAAGCAAAACAACCTGATCTTTATCTTGGTATACTGGTATTGCATTTGAACAAAATCAATGTGCAACAATATTTAACAAGATCTTTGTTTTAATTCATAAAATAAATAACACTTTTTATCATTATAGTATGTACACTTTATATATTTTTCCATTTCTGTAATCTCTATATTTATATCACATGCCATTCAATGTGTTCAGGCCTAAGTGTTACAATGGTATAGCCTATAAGACTGCTTTGGCTATTAAATTATTTAATGTATATGGCTGTCCCTCTATAATTATAAAGTAACACAGTCTCTACATCAATATTTCCATTTCCCCACCCTGGAGAGGTCATTCATTCTTTGAATAATATACTAGTATAGTACCTTTTGATTGCATAGACTTTTGATAATATCAAAAACTTGTACAACATGAACATTAAAAATTTACAACTGCAATTTTAAGGTGCAACAAAGAACAAAGCATAGAGACAAATTGAGTGTATTATTTAGTTGTCTCAATTTTACAATTTCATTCTCCAGTCTATCTTCCTAAAATGCCCATTGTTCTGATTTTATTTCCTGGTAAATACTTTGACTTAGGTAGCCCATTTGGCATTTTGGCAAACAAGGGAAACAAAGGGATGATTTTTTGCTTCCAACAACACTTTACACTCTCTGTCCTTTGGTGACACTTTATACTAAAATTGCATTTTATATTTCATTCAGTTTTGAATCATTAACAGTGCCTGCACTGTACAAGTTTAAAAATGAGCAATTCTAGCATTCTGATACCTTTGCCACCCCCAAATCTTCTGGAGTATTTGTTTGACGCCTGATGCCTAGTTTATAAATAGTTTAGTGTTTTCATCTTTTTATCTCTAGTATTAGTAATGGGTCTCCAGACTAACAGATAATGAGCCAAAAACACTGTTCGAGTTTTCTGTTGTTTTTAATGTTTTTTTATACTATTTCTATTCACTGTTCATTTCCCTTATGTTCTCTTGATATAGAATGCTTTTCCCTGTCTATGTAATTCTTGTTCATATTGCTGCTTCTCATCATTTAGTTTTTGTCTCAATGCTGCTTGTCGTACCTGAAATAAAGATCAAAATATCTTGGTTTTGAACATGCAGATGGAACTCCAGAAAGAATAATGATTTTCCTGGAGATTAATGAGAAATACTGATATAAAGACCCGGTTATAAGGAGCATGCATGACAAAACTGTTTTGCATCATCAGTCTTAGTTCTTAATCCGCAGGGGTTATAATTTTTACTGTTATCCTCTAGGTTTTAGGATTACTTACTGCAGTGGATGCCTTTGCTGCTAATTTCAGTTCAGATTTAATGCATTCATTATTTGTCTTGATTCTTTGTTTTTCAGCTGCTTGCTCCAGAGACTCATTCCATTCTGATTTCAGACATAACTCAGTCTCTCTGCAAAATAAAAGAACAACTATTTACAAATAGTTAACCTATTGAGAATGTGCAATTTGGTAAACAATTTGATCACAAGGCTTGTAAATTATAAGTTGGGTCAGAAATGTCTGTGAAAATATAATCATATGGGGATCCAATTTACAACTAGGCCTAGTATATGTAAGTTTATCTTCTTGCCTTTTATTAAAAGGAGATACAATAGGATAATTAATTATTGTATATGCTTATTGTACATGTATATCTTGGAAGGCCTTGGTGACAATAATTACTAATCTACATACATTTACAGAAGAGGGTAAAATGACATTTTGTTTTGTGATCCAATCATCACTTGTCAATGAAAACCAAATTGCCTAGAATATTAAATAATTCAAAGATCAACTTACACTCTTGTTTGTCTTTCTCTCTCAGCAAATACCTCATCCATCTGAAAAGCAGGATTTTTAGGATCATTCCAAGGAAACATGTTTGAATTCAAAATAACTATGATACAGTGTTAATAATAGGCTAATTCGCTATCCTACTGATTTGGTGATCAGTCAAAATAATATTCACTTTTATAATTTATGTGTCCATTTATTTTTCTTAATTTGTAATATTATATCCAATCATCATCAGCAAAGCGCGCTTCATGTATGAATGATTTCTATATATTGATTATATCCCTCAGATTACATCATGTTTCTATTGTCTTGGGTAATTAACCTATTGTCCTTTATAATATCTACGATTGACAAAAGATTTATCAATATGGCCTGTTGTATTCAATCTTGTTTGGTTTCTATTATTTTGCTATGGAACACTAAAAATGTTTATTGATCTCTATTTCACTTTCAAAAGGCAACATGAGCTGCATCTGTCAATAGCATCACGAAAAATAGTAATTTATAGTTTAATCAAAGTGACTCCTCAAGTAGGCTTGTCTTGCGTGTTAATGATTATTTGTGTATACTCTTATTAAAGGGAGTTACAGACATACCTGGAGACACAAACTTTTTTGAAAATTTCAATCTTTTTGGCTTTGCTTTTCATTAATTTTGACATCCCTTTGTTTAGTACTTACCAGGGAAATATTTAAGTCAGAATTGAGAAGATAATAATCAAATACTCAAAAATTTACCATTCATTCTAAAACAGATTCTACCTTTAAGATTAGCTGTTCTTGAGATTGATACATGTCTATTGAAAGTCCATGATGTAGCCAAGTAACACATTGTTAATTTGTAGACATATTGTTTTAAGACTAATAAATAAGGCGAATAAATAAATAGCAACATATGTTTTGTTCTGTTGTTATTGTATTATCACACCACAATTAAACTTACAAAATTAAAGACACAACTTTTTCACATGATTTTAGAAGCTGTCTGATGAATGAAAGACAAGTTCACAGTGAGTGAGGCAATGAAGGTCATTTTTTAGAAAGGCAATGTGGATGTGACCCAAGAATATAAAAGTACACAAATACAAAATGAAAGAATGAAATACAATTTCATATGTATGATGTCAAGATGTTTATGACACTCTTCACCATTGTCCTAGGAACAGAACTTAGATCTTATGCTGAGATGTTGAAAAAATTAACCCGGAAGTGCGATATATGGTCACTGTCCTCACCTTTATTCGGTCTTTTTGTCGCTCTAGGGCCCTCAAGAGGTTTTTATTGGGAGAAGTGTTTTCATAACGCAAAGATGTTGCTAAACTCATTTTGGAAGATGCAGCAAATGTGACACTATTTCGAATTTAAATTAAACTTGTCTGAAATTTCCCCCAAATTTTAGTGGTTGCTATGACCTAATAACCTCTAAATAGACGCGATACACATGCGCTTCATAATATACTTTCTGAACGAACCATTATAACTTTGGCGAATGTTTTCCTTCTAGACGTAATTTTATCTAGTAGGTCAAAATTGGTATTGCTGCCAGTTTTATCATATATTTTCACAACATTATTTCATATAGAGAAGGAATCAAAATTGAAATAAAGTTTGCATAATTTACTACACTTAAATATTGAAATATAGTCCCGGCATTGTCCAGGCTGTGTAAAGAGACCATAACAGCCGTTATATAGAACTAAGATGATTTTAAACATATAATTCACCTCGTTAACGATGAAATAACAAGAATATGAGATCTTTTTTTTATACATAAATTTATTCCTTTAGTAAACAATAATAGACATGCAATTGATTGCCAAAGTTTTATAAAAAACATTAGCAGCCATTTTAGACAATATGATAGGAATCTAAGAAATTCTCCATCTAAATTGTCACTCGACTTTTTTGTGATTATGAGTCAAAGAAAGCATTCTTGCGTTTCAAATTGACTTATGTGGTAACTTGAAACCATCTTCTAATTTATTCCACTTACCTTTTATTGTTTCTCCAAATATATTCTTTGAAAATCGGATTTTAAGGGTGTTAATCAGGGTAATTCTGTGCCATTTTATCAAAAATCGTGTTGCTATCTAGAAACGAGCAATTGTGATGTCACGTCACACTCATGTTAATTCTGGAATCACATGGCAGCCATTTTGGAAATTTCAAAAAAGTTCCCAATTAAAAAGGCTAAATGCTGTTTACAAATTGGAAACTATGGCAGAATCAACAAAGGGTTTGTGAAATAATTAGGATATGGTTTCAAAATTATGCACATGACAATATATGACTACTAAATGCAGGCAGGGACTTTTAATTGCCAAAAAGTCGAGTGACATTTTAGATGGAGAAATTTTTAATTTTAAAATTTATCAAAGTAACCTAATGTTAAAACTCATATAAGAAACTATTATCCCATGGGCCAGGGATGAGTTAACAAATACATGCAAAAATTAGCCAAACCGATCAATTTGGCTCAAACTTTGATTCACAAAATGACTCATTAGTTCTATTAATTTTTCATTTAATGCATTATCTAAATCTTCATCCATACAAAAGAAACTGAATTTTGTCATCTGTGTTCAAACTCTGAACCAAAAGATGAAGATCTGAAGTTCGCAGTCCTGCAAATAAAGTTTCACGCTCGTTTACAAGCAGAGGACATTTTAAGATAAAATGAGAAGATGTTTGTGGTAATCCACATTTACAAAGGGGATCACTAACACTGGTGAAATTATGAGCATATAGCTGCGATTTTAAAAGAAGACCCACTCTGAGTTTGTTAAAAGCACATTCAACATATCTATACATGAGATCTTTGTTGATGCAAAAGTATATTGATAATTTTACAATATTTTTACTTGACTAGTCCGGCCTGTATAAACAAATGTTGATACTAATAAATATAGGCTAGAGACATGAGAGACTCCGCCGGAACTGGAAAGTTATCTGTTTAAAAGGAGATTCAAAATTAGAAATGAAATGTCATCTGCATCCATTAGATGAATCCAAATACTCTTGTACAAATCATTAAAAATACATTACCTGTATTGAAAGACGTTTATCTTTACCATTCATCTTTTTGAAAAAGATGTTGACATTTGAAACAATGTTGATTAGATCCCCGGGATTAGATCTCAATAGGAGCCTTCTCGCGTATTTTATAACTATTTCAACAACAAATCATCTAGCATGTTGGCTGTGCTTAGTTTTGGATGGTTCCTCCTTGGATTATGTCTTGGAGAAGTCGATATAATCCTCGACGATGTTGGTATGTATATTTGCAATAAGCTTACGCTTACTGAATACGAGGAACTTTCAATACTCTGATACTGTGACATTCTCAATATTCGACTTGATCAAGTGAAAGGAAAAGATGTCTTCATGGCTGAGCGCGATAATTGGCAGTGGCGTAGCCAGGATTTGGTGACCGGGGGTTCTATTTTTATGTTATTCACAAATCCCCCCCCCCCTTCATTAGGGTTTCTCAAATAATGCAATTTGTACAATTACACTCCCTCCAAAAGTTTGGCAATCCTAACTAACGCATTGGATTATGTATTGAAGCATTTTTAAGTTTGAATTTTTATTTACATGATTTGTAAAGAAAAAACTAATTTGGGAGGGGAAATATATTTCATTCCAATACCTTCATTAAAGGCAGAATCTGATCTATAGGGGGTGACAAAATTACAAGCAACATGTATAATTGACCTACCAATCTATTCCTTACAATATCAAATACAATATCTCCCAAAAGATTCACAACATATTATAAATTGGTGAAGTTATTAATGATTCAAAGTGCAAAAATGAGTGAAATTTTTTTAAATTCTCCCAAATAATAAGAATGGTAACCATTCTTATTAATAAAAATAATACATTTTTGTAAAAATCTTAAGTTTTCCTGGAATAAAGTATGCACTGTTGTGATTTTTAAAAAATAGACATGACAAGGAATGACATGAAAAAAGTCTGAAAGTAATAGGCTTTATCAAGAAACCTCTCCCACTGAAATAACACAGGACGTAAAAATGATTTTCAAAAATGACCTTGTAGCTTTGTAACTTTAATGTTCACAAAGTAAAAAAACAGGCAACGTGCAAAAAAAGTGAGACAACTTATAATTAATTTTCTGCATCAAAATATATTTCGGTGAATCTTTTACTGAATACATATCCTGAAATCTGATTTGCCCCGAATCCACCATTATTTCGACTGATTTCTGGAAGACCCTGGAGCATGATTTGTTTCCAAGGAATATCAACTATTTCGCACAATGTACTCTTTAACTTAAGCTTCTTGATCTAGGACAAAATAAATCACCTCATGCAAAGCTTATCATTATTTTTTAGGAATTTTGTTGGAAGCCAGTTCGGATCAAATGCAAGGTTATTGAAATTGACGCAAACACCCTATACTCCGAAAGACCGTTCTTCTATGATAACTTTTCACAACGTTTACACGAAGGCTTTATAAACTGTTGAAAATATCTATTATTCAAATAAGTGGGTCTCGGTTATGCTTTGTTTTAAAAAGTTAAAAATATTTCTTTGGACGTCTCCGGAGCTCAGTGGTTAGTCCCCCAGAGCAGATCTAGATCAACCGCAAATGATAGTAAAAACGTTTTAGAGGATAAAATTATATATAAATACAAGCGACTGTTATTTTGTTAAGTTCAGACGGCTTGATAACAAATTAAGCCTTCATTATTTGAAGATTAATACCATATGATTTTTCAATGTTTTTTTTAATTTATAATTTATTCGCTAAACATATCATGACATTAACATGAAAATGGAGAGCAAGTAAACTGCAACGATAACAATTTGAATTCTATACAATCTCTTAGATGAGTGGAGTGTATCTGAAAAAACAAAATCATTTTTGCAATGATTGATTTTTCTTTGGAAAAGTGATGGGTAAATAAATACTGAACAAATGAAAGAATGAATGAATTTGAACAAATGCTTGTGTTTATAAATGATATACGCTTTTAGATAATTCATTTCACAAGGTTTTTAATTATCTAACGCAATTGGTTTCGGGGACTTGCCAGCCCCAGGGACGCCCCAAGAAATATTTTAAATTTTAATCGAAATAAAACAAAACAGAGATGTACACATTTCGGAAAGAACATGTGTTTCATCAATATTACGACTATTCCAGATATTTATTCGTCAATGTTGTAAAAATCATTCGGAGTATGGGACGTCTGCATTGTTTTCAATAACTTTCAATAACTTCGTATTGGACCAGAACTGGCTTAAAACAAAATTCCTACAAAGGACTGATTTAGCCATTGCCCAAGGTGGGTTATTTTGTCGAGTCCGAGAAGAAGCATGCTTTTAAGTTAATTGTGCGAAATTATTGTTATTTCTAAATGTAAAATCTCATGCTCTGGGGTCTTCCTAAAATTAAATCTCACCCCGTGCCTAAGGTTGCCAAACGTTTTGAGGGAACTGTAACTTCACTATGACATGTTTTTAAGAAAATAATGCTCTCGTGTTCACCATAACACATATCAATTCATTTTCAATTTTCAGATTTTTTTTAATTTTAAGCCAAATTTTGAAGAAAATGGGCCTCCCCGCGTAAGCGCAGACGTTTTTTCTCAGACCTGAAATTTGCCCCCCTCCCTTGTTCCCAGATCCGCCCCTGAGTAAAGCTGTCGCATATGTTACTCGCTGATAAACCATGTTAACCAGTAAGTAAGTTTATCCGTGCACACACTATGCCAGAGCCAAAGGTAGGAGGGAAATCTTCAAATAGGATAAAAACGAAAATCTCCCTGACCTCAATCCCTTCAGTAGAAAATGAATGTTAAAATGGTGGGAAATGCGTTATTGTATATCCCGTAATTATATCCCATGCATTTCAACAATCTATCAATTAATCAATCAAAAGATATGTACGCGATGAGCCTTTTCGCCATCACAAGGCCATTTCGCCCCATGTTGAATATGTTTTAGTGATCCTTAGGGTGATTATATTTCAGACTGTACGAACCAGCATGGGTTCAAGCCAGTTGGATTTTTGGCCAGTTCATACAAGGACTGTGTCTTTGTTGTCTGTGACGGTTCCAACCCAGATCCAGGAAGAGTAAAGGTATGTGAGTTTTACTAGGCCAAGTCTCTTGAAAGCCCATGGTCTAGGGTAATTAGCATGTAGCCTATCACCACCTCTTTACCCAATGTATCGTGTGTTCCATATCTTTAATACTTTCAAGATGTGGTTTCATAGGGGCACGCACAAGATAATGTTATTGAATCGACGGGGTCATTAATATTATCATTTGCATATATTTCAGTTGAGACTGCATTCATTTCAATAATCTAAATGTGACACAACATCCGTTTATGATTTCAATATGGCGTCAATATACTGTGCTTACCTGATTTTCCAGTCCTGTTACTGCTCGTGTTTTTAAGAACAATCCACTCAAGTAAAGGAGGAGGGAAATTAGCGCAACAGATTTTGGACGGTCATATGTTTGATTTTGGCCATTTCCTGAGGATTTAAACAGGTGCATATGTTAGGCGAATGCATTACCTCCAGGAAAATCACTTCAAGATATTATAAAATAATTTCTACTGTGAGACAGGGTAGATGCAAACAACCCACCCACATGTTTTTTCTGAAATGTTTTCCTGATTTTCAACCCCCTCCATCCCTGCTTTTTTAATTTTTCTTGCATCAATATGTTGCGTTTTGACACACAGTTAATCCCTTAAAAGGAATATATGATTCCTTTTAGATAAAGTGGAAAACAATATTTCCCATGTTATTTTCCCCGGCCATAGGGGAAATCATTGCTTTCAGCTAAGTTTGGTCACCCATAATGGGTATCTTTAAAACCCCTGTAGGAATCACTTATTCCTTTAAAGTGGTTTACTATGTGTCAAAACGCAACATATTGATCCAAGAAAAATTAAAAAGCAGGGATAGAAGGGGTCGAAAATTAGGAAAACATTTCAGAAAAAACATGTGGGTGGGTTGTTTGCATCTACCCTGTCTCAAAGTCGAAATTATTTAATCTCTAGAAGTGGTTTTCCTGGAGGTTATGCATTGGGCTAACATATGCAATTGTTTAAATCCTCAGAAAATGGCCAAAATCCAACATATGACCCTCCAAAATATGTTGCGCTAATTTCCCTCCTCCTTTTCGTAATTGCCTTTCATGCATTCTTTTCATTTTATTTCATACAGTACCCCTGGGGATGCAATACAAAATTCCAGGTAAATGACCCGTACAATGAACCCGGTGGTCCTCTGAAATGGCCTGGTGATTGTCCGACGGACCTTTCTGTTCGGCAATGCCTCGCGTACACAACCCAACTATGCAAACTTGAGGAGAGCACACAAGACAATGTTGCATGTGGTCCAACATTTGCAGAATTGAAAGGTTTTTTGTTTTCTTACATTATAATATGTCGTCTTTTTTTGTCAGAGACTTTAATAGACATTTATTTAGATACATTATTTTACGTTGACATCTCTCTGGTTTGAAGAACATTACTGATCCTAGAAATATAAATTGACTGTAAAACCAGAACATTTTGGATGCGATGCACTTCGCAAATACATTATTTTCGCCAAATCAAATCGGCATGATTCAGTAGATTCTATAACCCTTATCAACAAAAACAATTAGCAGAAGAGCGAAATTTATGACTCGTTCGAAAAAACGACTCCACGTTTAAGCATCTGTCTGGAATGCCCCATGGTCCATGACATCTAAATTGACCTTAATTTCAATATGATGTAATTAAATTAATCTGACTAAAAATCAATTATTAAGCCAAATGTGATCCATTTTTTACGTTCAAGAAAAATTCTGGTTTTACAGTTCGATGCTTGATAAGATGCCCATCAGTTTTAGATAGACACTATATAACTCATCAGCCAGTGGGTGAAAATACGTTAAGATACTAGCACATGACACATTGTAGTGAATGTTACTTATGGTACGTTCACACCAACGGCGCTTTGATGGCGCTTTAAAGCGGCTTGTAAAGCGGCACCAAAGCGTAACAAAGCTTAATTAAAGCGTCGGGGTCGTAATAGGTCGTAGAAAAGCTCGGGAGTAAAGCGGGATATTCGGCAAGAGCGCTAAAAAATTTAAACTGTTTAAGCGTTCGCACCAACGGCGCTTTGATGGCGCTTTAAAGCGGATTGTAAAGCGGCACCAAAGCGTAACAAAGCTTGATTAAAGCGTCGGGATCGTAATAGGTCGTAGAAAAGTTCGGAGTAAAGCGGGATATTCGGCAAGAGCGCCAAAAAATGTTAAACTGTTTAAACATTTTGGGCGCTCTGTTACGAATTGATTGAAGCGCCGAGAGCGTATCAAAGCTTAACAAACCGTAACAAAGCTCAACAAAGCTTGACTCAAAGCGTAGGAAAGCTTAACACAGCTTGGTTCAAAGCGGGGACCCCAGTCTATTCACGGTCTGTTACCACTTGACACGCTTCGTTAAGATGTCTCAAGATTTGCTACGATCTGGCATGAAGATCTGACACGAGGTCAGACGCTTTCATCAATATCTGACACTCTTTGTTACACTTTCCTGAGGGACTCTCAAGCTTTCCAACGAATTGAGACGCTTTAATCAAGGATTGAAACGCTTTGCTAGGCTTTTTTACGCTTGAAAGTTTTCACACGCTATATCATGCCGTGCGACAAACGTCATGTCTTCTTCAGATAGGTCATGCTCTGGTCCATCTGGAATTTCTGGATCTCGTTGTTCTGCCATCGTGTTCTCGAGTCAAAGATGCAATGGTTTTATGGATCTACTGCATCTTTATATAGTCATTGGATCAAAAGCGGCATGGAATCGGCGATCTCGACATTTTCCAATGCGTGACAGAGCTTAACAGAGCGTAACAATGCACAACAGAGTTTTGCAATCGTATCAGAGCCTGATTTAAAGCGTCATAATCGCATCAAAGCGTAATAATGCTTATCAAAGCGTGATTTCAAGCGTAACAAAGCCTGATCAAAGCGGGATCAAAGCGTGAGGAACCTTTTAGAGCTATGTTAAGCTTTCCTACGCTTTGGATCAAGTTTTTCTGAGCTTTGTTACGGTTTGTTAAGCTTTGATACGCTCTAGGCGCTTAATTGATTCGTAACAGAGCGCCCAAAATTTTTTAAGAGTTTAAAATTTTTTGGCGCTCTTGCCGAATATCCCGTTTTACTCTGAGCTTTTCTACGACCTATTACGACCCCGACGCTTTAATCAAACTTTCTTACGCTTTGGTGCCGCTTTACAAGCCGCTTTAAAGCGCCATCAAAGCGCCGTTGGTATGAAGAAAAATGACAAAAATGACGGCGCTTTGCTCGCCGATTTAAAGCGTGGCATTCGCCGTTGGTGTGAACGTACCTTTACTATACATTTAGCCTAGTTGAGAGGGGGTACCACCATATTCACTTATATTGCCGTTTATAGGGGAAGGAGGTGGAGAAAGTCAGGACGCTGCATCTCTAAGCGACGATTACGTCAGTGAGTATACTCTTTTTCAACAAGGAGGATTGGCTCCCAGAATGCAACACCGATATTCTGCAAAACAATCACCTAGCGATAGCTTTGTTGGAGAGTATCGGGTCATTCTCCATGCAGTCGTACAAATTATACAGACACGAATAGCAAATGACGCATGCGTGGAGATTAAAGAATATCGAGTTGGAACCCTGGCTTCCAATCCTCCTTGCTTTTTCAAAAATGTTTAAATAGGATTCTTTAATTCATTCTTTAATTCCAATACATCCGGAGTGCTCATTTAAAAACCTACGTTTACAAGTTCTGATGTTTAAAGATCCTGATTCCTATCAGTATGACTAGCAATGCAATTATTCTATTCTCTATTTCAGTATTTAATCACCGTTGAGCATTTTCTGTTTAAAAACCCGAGGGGAAAGATTTTAAAGTTCCACTCACACTGACTATTTTACTTATTTGAATTGTACTTTAGTCTATTCAAAATATGTGCAATCATGTGACAAAATAAAAAAAGAGCATTACATTACAATATTTGATTTTTCTAGTATTTGGTGACCCGCACATCTACCAGGGTTTGGTGAATATCTCAGGGACTCCCGCAGGGAAGCAATACATCAGATATAGAGTAGAAGGGACTCCGGAAACTTGGTACACATTTTGGGAGCATTACTGGACAGGTGAAAATATCAATAATGTAAACATTGTTTATATTACAGAGACCATAGTTGACTGTTGTTTGTATTACAGAGACCATAATTGACTGTTGTTTGTATTACAGAGAACATAGTTGACTGTTGTTTGTATTACAGAGACCATCAGTTGACTGTTGTTTATATTCCAGAGACCATAGTTGACTGTTGTTTATATTCCAGAGACCATAGTTGACTGTCTAATCATATCTGATGCGCCAGGTAGCCCAATGAGGTTTGTTTCAAAACTGATTGTTCGTACAACTGTTCGTGACATCAACATTGAGATTGTCAACAGGAATGAACTTAGAGTCACACTTGGAGACTTATATGAATGGGGCTATGGAGTAGTATGTCTCTTTTATATTCTTAACTCTAATGATGAGCTCAAAGGTTTTAAGCCAATATAAAGGTGGCAGTAGCGTAGTTCATAAATCCATAGATAAAATAAACAAATTGAATGTGCTGTTACATCTTTATGAGCACTTTGTAACACTCAAAGAGCATGGTTAAACATGTGCAATGTTTTTATATTACAGAATATCAAATAAAAACTAAACAATTGAACTAGCTCTACTTGTAGTATATCAATCAGAAAATGTCAGTTTGAAGAAATCAAGTATCCAAAATTTTGCTAAGTTTGTCAATCCAAGATATAAAGAAAAGATTACTTATATTAATATACAAAGCATGACACAGATGAGATGCTCCCTTTTATACAGGTGAATATAGATGAGTCATTGGCTCGGGACCATGTCAACATTACAGCTCCAGATGAGTTTAAGATCTCTGTTCAAGCTGTAGAGAGGCATCTAAGAATTCACATCAATGCCATCCATATCGTTGAAGACAACATTGGTGGTATCCTGGGTATGTAGCCTTTGTTGATAGCATTGGTTATCATGGATTTGTAACCTCGACAGCATTGGTGACATAGTGGTTATGTAGCATCACAACACTGGTGGTATCATAGATATAGTCTTGACATTGGCATCATTGATTCGTTGTCAAGATGTTGAAATAATCCACAACCAAAACACTGCAGATGACTCTATGTATCTGTGGCACAATCCTTCAATGTTTCCACCAATTGATAAGACACTATCACTAAAAAAATGTTTTCTATAAGCGACAGATACTAATAAATATATTTGTGATTTTAGGGGAACTAGCAAATTGCCAAATAAGTGAAAATGTTTTAAATCAGCCCAATTCTAGAACATTAGTGAAATCCTCAGACTTCAATTTTGATGTCATTATTTCACAAACCATGTCAACTTTATCTTAACCATGACAAAAATTTAACTAGCAATGCAAATCTTATTTGTAAATAGAAACTGGTTAACACAACACTTGCATTTGTAGGTGATTTTGAGAAGAAAGCAAACCGCATTCAAGCAAGTCCAGATTATTCCTCCCATTCACTTGTGCATGTTGATGGTACGCTACACCCAGTGATTACGCCAAAGTTGATACACAAGTTCAGATGTGACGGCAATGGGATTGATTGGAAACAATGCTGGCAGTTTGATAACTTGGCAAATATTGTTGATATTAACAATTTCATCAGTAATGGAGATCCAACTCCTGATTATTATAGTTATAACAACAATTATTACTAATGTGTATGACACAAAGCAAACAATAAAACACAATGGGCAAAATAACCAAAAGCAGTTCTGTGTTTGATATAACAATATATATTCGAATTGAAGAAATATCAAAATGTTCATTCTACTTTTACGGAGCAATGATACAAAGTATTAAATGTTCCAACATTGTTGCACTCTATTTGTGTGTAACAGAAGTAAATCTAATTTCCATGGTAACTCATAATTTTTGTAAAATAAATCTATAATCTGATAATACATTGCCATGGTAACATACATTATACAGAATCAGAATGCTTACACAATATGCCCATACATGTATGTGTTCAATGTATGAGTATCAATTCTTTGAGTTATTTCTTTTTTACAGTTATGTTCTATAATCTCCATTATTTGTTGCCATGGTAATGGTAACACTAAAACATTGCAAAAACGTCTCGGGTGTTCGATATGTAAGTTGGATGGCCATGTCCCCTCCATTCATTACTTAGATAATGTTACACATATTGGTAGAGCGTTGCAAAACCAGGATTGTAAAAGGAATATGTCTGTATTCTTTGTTGCCCCTTTAATTGTCTGTCACCAAGGAAACGTAGGTTGCACCAAAACTAGGTAGCAGCAGGGTTGAGATCATGGATTATTTATTTCAAACGAGGTCACATGATGAGAGTAGAGACTGTAGGGCCTTGGCATATGCTGGAAATACATTGAGTGATTCATTAATGTATGATTGGGTTTAATTAAGGAATAAATTAGACTTGATATACAGGAATATATATCTTCTAGTAATCTTACCTGACCAGTTTGCATGGTACACCACTGGATAAGGTATTTGTTACTATAAACAGAATGAGTTTTAAAACACATTAGGCTAATATGAGGTACAATCTAGTAACTGTTATAATCAGAGTATATGTATGTCCTGTCAAAATGAAAATGGAATTTAATAATCAATGAAATTTTTTTTTCTCTTTCTAGCTCATTTTGTTAATACACGACTTACCATCGCGTAAGCAGGCGTCACCGTACAGCGTCAAAAAATAGCGGAGTACAGTTTTCTGTACGGTAACGCAAATTAACTGCTTTGAAGCAAAAACTATGACAAGGGTTTAAAAAAATTAATTTGATGAAAACTAATACGATTTCATGTGAAATAAAAACAGCATTCTCTTAGAAATGGTTTTAACTTTCTGATTATGATAAACGTTTTACGAGCACTGTTCGGATTTTTTCTCAGTGAATCGGCCCACATAATCGACCAGAGTGAAAAAAGGTTGTTTTTTCACATTTTGTTTGGTTATTATTTTCCCTACCGTCTGACAGTATGGATTATTTTTATGAGAATATGTATTTGTTACTTACACATTTTAGAACGGGCGAAGATTCAGTAAACAACCATTCATTATGTATATTTAAAAAAGATCAAATTTGTACGGTGACGCACCAGCTGTACGGTGACGCTATGCTTTGATGAACTAAATGAGACTAAGATTGTATGAAATGGAAACTCTGGAGTATGATCATTTGTTCATATATAGTGCATGGGCGCTACAGTTCAACGATTTCTTCCACTGCTTAATGGAAGGTTACTGGAAATGTATGATACGGTAAAGATCATGAAACCAAAAACTCTCTTGTTGCTATGTTATTGATGTTTTAAAACAAGGGATGTCACAAGTAAATCTCATCTTGCACGTGTGACTTTTTAGGATGAAAGATGCAATATCTTGCATGGGGTAAAGATGGCTGTGTAGGCTATCTTTGTTAGTCATATGAGAAAAGCCTGGTTTAGTTCAAATGATACCAAAGCATTACGTCAACTTTCAAATAGTTAATTCCATGAAAACTAAAAATATCGAAATTAATACTTCCTGTCCGCCATCTTAAAGGTGCAATAATTAGTGCAGAGGGGTCATTCAACGATCATGGACCAGTGTCAAAATATATTTAAGTTTGGATATTTCATCAAGACTAACATCAATTTTTATTATCTACAAAGAAACCCCCTAGATAAACATTATTTTAGCTGGTATTCCTCTTGAAACATGGTGGATCTTAAAAATATAAAAGTGGAAGTCCCCTTTTTGAAGCTTTGAACTGAATTTACACTTTTTAATGCTGAAATTGATAATTTATCCATACATTTTAAGAAAATAGGTATGTCAAAGAAGATGTTAAACCAAATGTTGCCTTGATAGCTCAGAAAAAATGAAAAAACTTTCCTATTTTCTCTACAGTCCTTATTGCCCCTTTAAATGCGAAGGTGACGGCTGTAACCTTCGCTTGATACTTACCAGTGATAATGTACATGTAGATCTGACGCTTCTTTACCTCTTGTTCGAACAGTAAGCTTAGAGCACTTCATAAAATCTAAGGAAGCGTCACCGTACAGATGATGCGTCACCGTACAGTTCTGATATTTTTTAAATAAATACACTGAATGATTATTTGCCGAATATTCATCTGTTCTAAAATGTGTAGATAACAAATACATATTCTCATAAAAATAATCCATACTCTCAGACGACAGGGAAAATAATACTGTACTCCGGGTAATGTTCGCGTGCGATTTAATTTCGCTTTGTTCGCGAATGTAGTAAAATCGCGAACATTTATCGTCGCGAAATTTGTCTTAAATCCCCGGGGATTTGACCCGGGCCTTTTGATATGTTACTTTCGGTGTGAAACGTTTCTTCCAGTGTTGTTGGGCGAAGGCCTAAAAACATTTTGAATTGGCTTATTAGGCCAACAAAGGCAAGAACTGTTGACGACAATGATATCCTACAAATTGAAGTTGAAAAAGCCATTCAAGAATATTCAAATAAATTCCCTAAACGTGGGAAATACAAACATTATTCGGATTCTGAACAGGCTAAAGTAGCCCGCATTGATTCACGGTAATCGGAAAAAATTCAACTTGTGCAATCTGCTAAGTGTCATCAACTCAAATCCGCGAAATTAAATAGCCGCAAAATCGCAATTTTGAAAAATCGCAAAGTTTTATAGCGTCGAAATTTACCCGGAGTACAGTAACCAAACGAAAAGTGAAAAAAACACCATTTTTCTCTCGAGTCGATTATGTGGGCCGATCCAGTCAGAAAAAATCCGAGCAGTGCTCGAAAAACTTTTATCATAATTAGAAAGTTAAAACCATTCCTAAGAGAATGCTGTTTTTATTACACCCGAAATCGTATTTATTTTCATCGAATTAATCTTTTTAAAACCCTCATTATAGTTTTTGCTTCAACTCGTTTTTTCGTCACCGTACAGAAAACTGTACTACTGTATTTTTTGACGCTGTACGGTGACGCCTGCTTACGCGATGGTTAGGCGTGTAATAACAATATGTGAACAATTGTGGTGGTGAAATAAAACCATGTCACACATGAATTATAGGATATCCTCTATATATTCTTTACAAAAATTCTTACCTTTCGGATTTCTGTAAAATACACAATTATTGGCACAGGTGTTTGGATCAGTGTCCCATATATCTTGACCACAGCAACACAAGGCAGGTAGGGTAAGGTTTCGTCTCTCCATCTTCTCTTTGAGGTTAGTTTTCAATGCTTGTACATATCTACAATACAATATGAAAAATACAGTTAAACTTTTGATATGACTGAAGAGGTCCACTTATGACAGGTTCACTTTACAGAGGTGTTCAACTTAACAGGTTTAACTACACAGGCCCGTAATCAGGGGGAGGGGTTCGAGTGGCCCCCCTGGCCAATAATTATTTTAAAATCATGCAGTTTTTCACTATTCTGAGCACTTCATAGTAAAGTAACATGTTGACTTTTTCTTATTTAATTATTATTATTATGGAATACTGCTTACAATGTTAACATTTTTCAAAATTAATTTATGTTACGTTAACCAAAATTCTCACTGACTTCTAAAGCTGTTACCCACCTTTCAGTTTCCAATTGCTTTTTAATCCTTCTACTCTCTTCAAGTTCCGATTGTTGCTGGGATATCTCAGCCTCCCTCTCCCTTGTGTATTCTTCAAGGAGTGTCTCACCTTAAATCAACAAAATACATCAAATAACAGCTGAAATTGTATAAAAAATACTTGTTTGTGTTATGCTTCTATGTATTCACATAGACCTACTGGTTCTATACAGTAAAACCTGCGAACAAGGAAACCTCTGCGGACTGGGCAAAATTTAATTATTTAAGCATTTATTTATTGAAGATGAATTCACAGATGTTGCCCTGCCCAGAACTGATACTCAAATTTGTCATCCTCATTTTAAAGCATTTATAATCTGAAAGTTTGGATCTTTAAAAGATTTAAAGAAATCAGCTTAAACATGTCAGAAATACATTTCTGTTATTTCCAAAGATAGTTGTGTCAGTCTTTAGATGTGCTCAAATAGACAGATGAAATCAAGCTCAAATGAAGATTTGCAGGTCTTACCATGGCAATTAATAACAGACAGATTAAAAAATATATTAAAAAATTTCAGAATTTGGCCTAAAATTGTGTTTCTTGTTCCCAGTTGACAGGTGATCCTAACAGAGAGGGTCCATTTACATGTAAGTCAAAGGAATAAGATTTGGTCCTTTTGAAAACTGTTCCTTCAGAATAGCATTTCCTACAGAACGGTGTTCCATCTGATTTTACTGTTCTCCATTATTTCTTTAGCTTGAGCAAAAAAGTCTAAAAAAACACCAAAGACAAAAATGGCTACCATTTTTCTAAAATGGCTGCCATACTGAGCAGATAGTAATGCTTCTGAGTATGAACATATGTTTTGCCCAAAATAATCAGTCTGTTACTTGTAGAGCTATAGCAATACATAAAACGACATGTAGAGCTATAGCAATACATAAAACGACATGTACAAATTCTGATAAAAAACTAAAATTGCCTTGAAGTGAAACTTCTATAACCAAAAGGAATATGAACAAACAGTATTTGAGTTAAAGCCTGAACAGATATCTTACACTACTGCAGAAAGGATAGATTTTCTCTATATCCCCAAATTTTATTTGATGAGATTAGATAATAAGGTTGATAATAAGCCAGACAGCTGACATTAGCCTGACAGCTCAGGATAGACGCTGAGTAGATATATTTTTTTCACATTTTTACTTTTATTTGAATCTTTTGAAAGTAGATAATAAATAACATAGAAACTATGTTTTAAATGAGTGATATTGCACCTTGCATATGAAAAATAATACTTCACTAATTTAATTAATATTGATTCATATTGGAAAGACAATAGATGTTATTGACATGGTCATCCTATCTGGACATGTTACCAGGCTGTCAATCAAGTCAATGTAGCAGCTGTAGGGTCTAAATAAAATTGTAAACATGTTGTAAATATTTGTAAACACTGAAAATCCAGCAAAATTAAATGAGTAAAGAACAGGAATTTAAAAGAACAATCATTTCACCATCTTTGTTTCCATGGTGACAATTGTATGGTTCTGATAAGAGGATTTGCAGAAACATCTCAAAAATATGAGAAAATAATTTCTAAAATAATGCTTGTTTGTGTTATGCTTCTATGTATGCAAGCCTGTTTCTAGGGATTTAGTCCATTAAGTCGGTTAGTGCGAGGAAAATGAACAACAATTTGAAGTACATAACAGGCGGCACTTCAATTCTAGTATTGGTTCAGCTCTTAACTTACTTATATGTATTTCATGTAAATAAAGTTATTCTCAAAACAAGAGATGTTGATAATGGTTTGAGGATACGAGGATTTATCAAATTGGAAACATTTCAGATAGCACCAATAAATCGTAACGTCACTTTGAATGAGATCCCAAGAGATTGGAATGACATCAGAGAAGAAAGAGATACCAACAAAGAAACGGATAAGTACAAAACAACTGATTATGAAAGGAAAGAGAACAAAAATGATGAAAAGGTGGTAGAGCATATTAACATCCTGGATTCAAGAATATCACAGATATTACAACCAAATCTTAAAATCACTTTTAATGAAAGCTCCAAAGAAACAGAAACCAACAAAACCAACAAGCAAGCTCATGAAAGTAATGCTACAGTTCCAATATCACAGTTAAATCTTCACAGGGTATTAGAGGAAAAGGTCTTTGAAGCTAGGTCTGAACATTTGATAGAATATTTCAACTCTAAAAACTGGAATGAAAGAAGCAGGAAAGTATGCATAAATTCACAAAAGTTCACAAACATCCCGTGCTATGGCAAAACAAAATCTTATATCAACTTTGAAGTCTTGATCGCTAATATTGAGAAATCTCTGGCACATGTAGATTCAACAGAAGGACCAATCATATTTCTCTATGCAAATTCACAGCGAATTGAAGAGCTTATTAATTGGTGGTTGATGGCAAAGTTTGTAGCAAATATGGAGCTCAATAACCTAATAGTTGCAACTGATGATACCAAACTTTCTCCGATTCTTTCAAAATTGTCGATTAATACAATTTTCATTGACACTAACAAAAATCTAAAATCTGAAACTGAAAACCATCACGTGATATGGACTTATAGGATGAGCCTTTGGCGAATAATCGTCTCATATGGCTACGATGTACTTAACTTTGATACTGATGCCATTGTTTTACACGATCCAATCGATCACATCGAGCTGAATTATCCAAATGGTGATATTGTGGCTTCCATGACAAACAATGCACCTAAGATTGCTATGAAATGAAGCAATGGGGCTTTACTTTGTGCATGGGGATTGTGCTGTTTAGAAAGGAGATGAATAGCCGAAGCAAGTATTTATACAAATGTCATGTTTTGAAAAATGATATCTTCTTGAACAATCACAGCAGCTAATGCACAATGGGTCAATAATGTGATATCATTTCCATAATATTCAACTACTTCAGTAGTATTTTCAGTTATCTTAAATAATTTCTAGCTTTTTCGTTGGGAAAAAGAGAGGGTATACCCTTTGCATTAGAAGATGATTTTGCTTTCTCTGAACATCGTTCATTAATGGAGTTGATGTGACAATTTTGGCATCAAATGACATCTCTTTACTCTTTTACAGCTTCATTTTGGGGATTCTTGGATGATTTATGCATGGCAGTAGAGGATGAGAGAGAAGATGACCAAGATATGATCAATAAGGTTCTCCTTGGTGGTGACATCATATGGAATAACAGCACTGACCAACCACCCATAAATGATCCTTTTAGTAACCTTGGTAACATAACTGGAAAGACAACAGATGGCCTTGTTGTGAGAGCCCTGTCTTCAAAAGATTTTTGCAGATTAACATGTTTCAAAGACAGGAAACACTATGTGCGACATACTCGATTTGACCACAAAAATTGGTTATTGAACAACGACTGGGAAAATGCGTTCTATGAAGCGAATGACTTTAAAGGTTTAATAAATGGGACTCTGTATTCTGATTTAAGAGAATATAACATTACCATGACTGATCTGAAACTCAATGACCTCTGACCTCTGATTCATAACTAGAAAATAACTCCATGAAACAGAAAAATTTCATAATAAATATACATGTAGCACAGATAGAGAATATGTCATATTTGTGATATATCCTATTCATACATTTCTCTCTCTATAAATACAATCAAGGCATACATTGTAGGAATTAATCGCAGTTTTATCAATTGCAAGTTTTTTAGTACAGGTGACAAAAGCAATGGATTTTAACTACCGGTATGTGTAATATGAGACATCTTTCTTCATAATACAAGCAAAATTGGCCCACAGGTATTCAAAGTAATTGAAATAGTTGTTTAGTTTAAACATACCAGTTACAGGGTTCCTTGGTTCCATTTTTTGTTGTATTCTGGTCTCTTGTGCTTTTCTAGCAGCTTCCTTATCTTTCTTCAGTCTGAAAAAGAATGTAAATGTAATTCAAAACATGTCACTATTTGCAAAATTGGAACACATTCTCTTCGAACAAAGTACAGTAAAGCATATGTAATGAAACACACTTAGAACCACAAACAAAGTGTTCACATTGTGAGATTCCACTAACAGCCAGCGCTCCGCTTACATCTTCACACTATACAGTAAATCTAATTTTTGATAAAATAGCAAATCATATACACCCCCAAAATGCAATCTGATTTTCGACGCCGTTTCGGTGCCAAATTTCGGTGCCTTTTCGGCACCAAATGGACTGACTAGTTCGGTAGTAAATATTTGTGTAGGAAGGTTTCGGTGCCGGAACGGTGTCAAATTAGATTGGCTGTGTAATATTTGTATAACTTACAATGCAATTTTCTTCCTGTGTTGAGTCCGCCTAAGATTCTCCTTCACCTGTTCCCGCTCGATATCCATGAAAAGACGCCTAAACATCGCACGTTGCTTTTCTCTCTGCTTCCTCTCATCCTCATTATCTAGCCCAGGATTGATATATGGCATGTTCCGCACAGCAAGTGCGCGTTCTATATCTGTGCCACCCATAACAGGAACTGCAATGGGGTATTGGTTAAGATTATTTAATCAAAAATGTAATCCAAATGGATTAGGTGATTTGTATAGATGGCAGGCCTAATTCCTATTGCATCTAAAATACATTGAATTAAAAGAATGAAAAAAATAAATTAGAGCACACACTAAGGATTCTAACTTAAATACCATCCATTTAAGATACAGAGATGTTTCAAAGGATATTCCAGTCATGGTCTTGTAAATGGTTCCCCTAGGCCTACATTGTTTTATTTTACAGGTAGGATAAAATGAAAAATACTTTATTAAAGATTCTGTTCCATTTAACTAAAAATAATTTGAACTAATACCTATTCAAATAACTATTCAATTAAGATCCTTCCTCTTAATTTGAAGTACATTTACAACTTCATGTATAGCTTACCACTTCTTCTTTCAATACTCTTGGCCCTACTATCTCTGTCGGATACATCCAGATCAAATCGAACTATCTTTGGGAGGCTATTTCTCATTTCTGCAACAAAATCAAATCAAAAGTTTAAATGTGTTCATATTTTTTAAACAAAAGAAGGCAGAAACTTTTTTCAAGCTTCATAATTCTTTCAACATTCTATGACAATTTTAAACCTGTTCTTTACCTGTGAACATGGTTACTGTGCCAATGAACATGTGTGTTTACTTCGGAAAAACAATGAGAAATTGCCTTTAGGAAAAAGATGTGAAATTGCCTTCAGGGACTCTTAAAGGATTCAAGGATTAGATTCATGTAGGTCAGTCAGCTCGACAGAGGAATTTTAAAACAAAATTATATAGATCAGTTGATGATTAGTATAATGATTTTGCAGCAAAACTACAAGTGTAATTACATGCATATCCAAGTAGAATTATTGACCACAGTATAATATAATTAGATCAAAGAAAAGACTTACCTTTTAATCTTCTCTCCCATGACTCTATATCCTCACCCTGAGGTGGCTGTTCAGTTAGGGGGTAAGGAGCATCCCCTGGGGGCATTTCCTCATTCAGGAGGTAACTATTGGTGTTCTCCAGGTCAATGACATGGCCCTCTGTAGTGTTCCTTACAGCAGGGTGCTGAAAATTGCATATGGAGTATCAGAATATGAAAATGCATGTACATTAAAATCAGTAATCTGGATATTAAGAGAGTGAGGAATTGAAGACTTATAATATATGACTTTCCTGAGTAGCAAAATCTGAACAACATGAATAAGCAAAATTTGTTTTTATACATGTAGGTGGACAATTTGATGGTTTGCAGAAAACATCTAAAATGAGTTTTTCAATACAACTGTGCATACTTGGGAATTTAGGGCGTAAGATTAATGCATTGAACAAATATTTTCTCTAAAATGCAGAAAATGTTGAAAATGAAAACCCTTTCTAGCTAGCTCTTATATTGCTCCCTCAAGGAGCATGTCTTTCCAATGAATAGCTATATTTGCTTCAGCACTGTTTGCCCTATATCAGTTTTCAAAATATCCTGTCATGCTTCAAATATAAGTTCCCTGTGTGAATGAACAAAATATGAACAAGGCATTAACATAACAAAATGGCAACACATGTAAAGTTATTTAAACAATGAGAAAACTATTACAGATCCTGAATGCTGGTCATTAAATCAAGGCTGAGCTCAAAAATGCGAAGTTTTTACTAATTTATATCGGATGAGACTTATTTATATGAACAAAATTAAAGAGATTTACCAATCCATGATTTCTTACCTCTCTTGTAGCAGACTCTCTCCACATTCCCCCTGGCAGATCATCTGCTACAAACCTCTCATTGACAACCTGTCTTGAACTCAGATTGCGCCTGGCTTGCCTGGAGCTTTTGTGAACCTAAAGAAAAGCCCAAACTCTTTCAATATCTAAAAGATGTTATTGTTTGTTGACATATTTGTAGTCTGTCTTAAAAATGTTATATCAAACATCCAGCCATTTAGCTGGCTCTTAATTTATGTGTACATAGTACAATACAATCAAAGTCAAATCAACAAAATCACAAACCTTGTTTATTTGATCTGAAAATGCTTTCACTTCTTTTTCCCTTTTGACTTTGAGAAATTCTGGAAATCAATAAAATTGAATGATGTAAAACAGTTGAACAATCTGCTTTTAATGATTCATTTATTAACTCAGAACAACTTATCATCTGACTATATGTAGAAGTACCATGTACATGTATAAGAAATATATCAAATATAATTAAACATCTCACCTTTTGTAAATGGACTATCAGATCCAATTGAAAAGTCCTCAGATCTCATGTTACATCTGTTTTTACGAGGGGTTGATTTTTCAGCTGCATGGCTGCTTTGTTGAACAATGTGACGCTCCATTTCAGCCTACATATTTATATAATATTATCATCATGGTATGCCTGTTGCATTGTAATACATAAGCAGTACCTTACATGCTACTCCCCAAACATTCATAATAATCTTTCAAGGCCTAACTGTTTTACTATGTGTCAAGTTGTAAGTATATGATAAGTTAACTAAATACTTGTTTCATAAGAAACAGGATGCTGTAATCAAGTCTGACAATGAAAATGATTCTGTCATTATCCTGACGACAATATCCAACTGTTAGTGTGGTTAAATTCATATTGTACAGTGAAAAACAGACTAACATATTGTTCCTCCATAATGGTAAGGTCAAAACAAGAACACAAATGTGTACAAAATGTCCCCACCAATGGGTGATCCCATCAAAAATTTAGTCAGTTCTAGATTTTCAAACTAAGAACAACCCCTGAAAATTTTTAATTGATCCGTCACACAGTTAACTAGAAAACATGTAAACAAGACTTTACAGACAAGATTTTAGGATGGAAAATCCAAAATGGCTGCCTTGACATTTACCCAGAATGTCAAAAAACGAATCTGTTCCTAGATTTTCATACTAAGAATCATCCCTGAAAATATGACATTGATCTACCAAATGGTTCACCTGAAAACGCGTAGACAAGACTTTACAGACAAGATTTTAGGACAGAAAATCCAAAACTTAAAGTTTGCAGACAAGGATTTTAGCATTTGACTTCAAAATGGCCGACAGGAAGTAGGTATCGAGTTAAAAATTTTTCATCCACATCTGTATGCACTCATAAGTTATCCCTGAAAATTTGAAGGTGATATCTGCAGCGGTTTTGGAGAAAACTCCCGGACGTACGGATGGACAGACGGACGGACAGACAGACTCGCCTAGGCCGACAATATGGCCCCACACTATGTGGTGGGGACATAATGAGTGATAAACATTATTGGTTACTATTCTTACAAAATGTACGCTTAATACTCACTGCTTGGTATGACTTTTCTAGCTGTTTCTTCTTGTTTAACTGTGCCATTTGTTTCACTCTGTGTCTCACATCTGCTTGGAATCTCCTCAGTTTTAGCTCCTTCTCCAGCTGCCTCTGTTGCAACCTTACTTCCTCTATCTGAGCTGACAGCTGAAATAAATTCAAACACATAGCAGTATAGGATAACACATTAAAGAGAGAGAGACTGGAAATAAGAATGAAAACTTGTGAAAAATTTATTGATGGTGATAAATAGGACAGAGGCAATGTCAGAGTGTAAGAAACCCAATCAAACACATCAAAATACAGAAATGGCACTACCTCAGATAAGTTTTCTTTGCATGCATGTCTTTTTACATTCCTGTGATTGACCATTTTGTTTAGGATTGCTGAAGGGTCTTATTCCAGAAAATAACATTTACTCAGTTGTTGACTTAGATCCTACGAAGAGATGTACAATAATTCCGTTATTTAAACTTTAAATGTAATTAAGTTACAAGCTAAGGAACTTTAGTGATTTTAAGAAAAAACAAAAATAAAAATAATCTGCAAAAACACTAGAGACAGTCACAAGAGGAAAGCACCATTGAAAAAACAGCACCAGAGACTATTAGGTGACATGATAGCACCGTATATATGGACTTAACCAACCAACCTTGTTTAATCAAGAAGAAGGTTCTCAAATAGCAGTACAGCAGTAAAGTTCAATAAGTTTCACATTTCTCAGATCAGATATCTAGAAAGAGACTCGGGATAGTTCCAACGATGCCTCATGAATAGTCTTAGAAAAATATGAAACAGCTGACAGAAAAATATTTTCTTGAAAAGATTCAAAAAATTCTGATCTGAAATTATTTTCAAAAGAAAGCTTTTACTCACGATTGCTTGATGGTTGGAATACGAATTTTCTACCTCTGGTTGAACCCAAGCACCCACAGCCTTAACCTCTGCTGTTCTCTGGGTCATATTTAATGGGTAAAACTTATCTTTTCGCTTCATTTTCAAAAAATATTTTTGAATTTTTTCAAATTCAAACGACTGATTGTCGGCAGTTCAACCTTGACCTCAAATTTTACGACAACAACATATTCAGCCATGGTTGTCTTCCGGCCGGACCCCTGTGGCATATTTTGTCTGATGTTGACGTATTCAGCCGTTGGATATGCAGACTATGTAGTTGTGAGGCATCTTGTGATACCAACGATGTCACAGACGTAAGTTATAAATTCATTTTCTCTCTAGATTCTGCGTAAATTGACGCCAAAGTTGAATTATTTTTTGCAAAATTTTATTTTTTCCTGATCAACTTCAAGTTCAAGATTTTTTTCAGTTTTTTGAAACTACTAATGATTTGGAAAATGGACACAGTGTTTGCCCCTGGATTATTCACATCCATCGCTTTCAAATTGTGGACAATCTAGTTCCAATTTACTCACTTCGAGAGCCATGTTAGATTTTGAAACTTATGGCTCTCAAACGGAGAAGTGAACAGCTGATCAATAGTGACCTTTGAAATTGAATTAAGTCGATCCGCGGCTTACTTTTGGTCTCTAACTGTGTCTTACATCAGTATCATCAATCCGTGTAAGTATATGAGCGCTGGGGTACTTCTTTTTCGATCAAGACTTGTAAATTGTTCATCGAGTTAAAGTTTTACAGACCTATTTCCAATATGGCGGTTTGATAGGTGCGAGATACGCAACGAACGAAATGAATTTTGAGAATTAGTTAGGTTCGGACAACCTCCGGAGATTTACGAAAATGTCCGAGCAGAAACCGCCATATTGGAATTTGGCAGTAAAACGATTCACTCGACTAACAATTACAAGTCTTGATCGAAAAAGAAGTAATCCAGCGCTCCAATACTTACACGGATTGATGATACGTAAGACACAGTTAGAGACCAAAAGTAAGCCGCGGATCGACTTAATTCAATTTCAAAGGTCACGATCATTGAGCTGTCCAAATGCTCCGTGGGAAAGCTATTATATCAAAATCCAAATAGCTTTCGCAGGAAGTAAGTTCCAATACTTATAGTCTAGCGAGTATTGGAATAGCCAGCAACCAGGGCTGTAGGGAGAGGGGGTTCGCAGGGTTCGTGCAACCCCCCCCCCCAAATCTTGACTAACAAAATTTGAACCCTACCTTTTCCGGCAATTATGCGAACTCCCCAAATTTTGAGTTAATATTTTGCAGTATTTCAGTAATTTATCGTTTTTTGATAACCTTAGATATTCGAGGTATTTATGCAAAGATCGAAATAAGTGAGATGTATAACTTTATCTTGAGTAAAATGACTGAGAATACAGAAAACGATCTATTTTGAGATGGGCGGTAAAACTTGAACTTATTCCAGCATACTGGCAAAAATTAATAAAATGGACCTTTTTCAAAATTTAAGCAATTTTATCAAATTGGACAGAGGTTAAGGAAATGTGGAAAAATGTTCATCAAATTCACCGTTAGGTGGCTCCAAAGAAATTTTGACAAAAAAAATTGAACCCCTCCTGTCAAATCCTGGCTACGCCACTGCCTACGTTATATTTCAAAAGTCGAATAATTTGGAGGATGCAAAAATTGAAAATATTTCTGTTTTTTGGACGCAAATTGTTTTTAGGTCAATACTACAATGTGTTTACAACGATACCTAACAAAAACAAATAATTATGATCTCTCACCTTTATTTGAATCGTAAATGAGGCTCAACATGTTGAATGTTTACAAATAATCATATTATTCTCTCGAATTTTTTCGACTTTGTTTATTTTTAGATTTGAAACCATGACACGCCACAGTTTTTCCTATTCAGAAACAAATATAAGGTTATTCATGAAATAAAATGTATTCATTGTCGAATGAACGAACGTGCATTTATTCAGTCCGTACTTAACATTTACTTCCATTTTAAATTCGCGGCAAGAAATCAAAAACTGAAAGGTGTTTTGGTAAAAAATGCTTTTAAAATAAAGTTATACCTCAAAACAGGCTAGAAATAGGGGACACACTTTTTTTCAAATGACACACTTTTTAAAAAAAATTGCGTCCTTGGGACTCACAAATTTTCTAACCTAATGCAAGCACTCTTCATTTCCGGGAACATTGTTCTTACAAGTTTGGGAAGTCAGTCTGCTCAATTAATACGTCAAGTCAAGCAATATTGTTGATAACTTGAGAGTGTTATAAATACAATAACGTATTTTAATGATTTGACTAAAAATTGGTATAGTATTTGAGGTGTTGTCATATACAATGCAAGGAAATTCTTGCGGGAATGTTTACAAATCGTGATTCATTTATACAGTAAAACCTGTCATAGTGAATTCCTCTCTCTACTAGTGAACACCTGTCTCTAGTAAACAGCCTTCCGCACAACTACACATCTGATACAGTGATGAAGATCTTTTAAGATTTGGTCCCGATATTATTCAGGGTTGTTTCAGTTATTGATTTCCTGAAAACAGTTTTATTCAACAACATCACTTTCCTGATTATTTCAGATTCCTTTACACTGTTATATTTAACATCATTGTTTTCCTGATTGTTTCAGATTATGGGGTGCCCTGAACACAGTTATATTCAACATCATTGTTTTCCTGATTGGCTTTTCACACTTAAGAGCAGTGTTCTCAGACCCAGGATGTGTCCCTCTCCCAAAGACGAATCTCGATTTCTCTGGAGTACATGCGGGAGAAGTAAAAAGAGAAAAAGTAAGTTTAATATTCAGGTTCAGTTTTCAAAAATTTCCAGGGGGGGTTCACATTTGACAATTTTGGCCCAAATATGGCTAAAATCACTTTCACCAAGTGCTCAAAATGGTGAAAAACTGCATGATTTTGAAACAATTTTTGGCCAAGGGGGGGGGGGGGTTGAACCCTGCGAACCCCCCCGGCTACGGGCCTGATATTACAATATTTTTGAAAGGGTGCGACCTCACCCAATGCCTTCTCCATCTGATGTGCCTGATAACATTGGCATAAGGCGTTGGTATACCAACTCAGGGAAGGCAAAATATAGGGGGAATTTTGATGCTTTTTGGTGTAGTCTGAGTATTTTTGGTACACTGCTGTTTTCAATAAACCCCCGGGGATGTAACATATGACAGTGTTTGTTTAGTATATACCATATTTTAAAAGGAGATTGTCATGATGAGAATTTGATGTATTTTTCATGATTGTAATCATCGGCAAATTAATGAAATGATTAACATTTTTCACATTTGATGTACATGTGGATATTTTCACATCATGGTAGACTACATATAGTCCAAAATTAAAATATTTTAATTGAATATTTCTTTGATATTCAATAGTTCTTGTGAAAATGCTGAATTACCGTTAAATAAATGATTTAAAAAGATCAAAAAATGTTTTAACATCTATCAAAGTTGATTAATCCCGGCAATTAAAAACCCTAAATAAATAAGGAAAAGGTACACGATTAATCAAAGACATGTAAATGTTTTACAATATATCAATACCACATACCAAGGAGGATTGGCTCCCAGAGTGCAACATCGATATTCTGCCCCATATATGGGCATGTCGTGCTACAAAATTTGAATTCCAACGACCGCCATTTTGTTCACTTCAACATTTGAATCGTGAATTTTGGTCTTATTTCCCAACGAAAAATTCCAAAACTCACAAGAAATGATCGAGATATTGGTTCGAATATTTTGAACTGTTTATTTTGAATTTATAATCGGTTATAATTTCAGAAAATAATGACATTTCGGCGTTTTCATTGTTGGAAGATATCGACTTCGATTCTGGGAGCCAATCCTCCTTGACCACATACTAAAGAAAACAGGAATACATTTTTTAAAAATTGTATGTGTATAGTTCAGTGACTAAGCTCAGAAATGAAGCAACACGATATCATCTCATTCACACTACAACGAAGCTCACGCTTGAATAAACACTCTCAATCACCGAACGCCTGTTCCATTTACACGACGCCTAAGAAAACATTTATGAGCTAATATCGCTGCGCTCAAACGCACATAAATGTAAAATATGCTGACCAGCTTAAGTTTTTCGAGTAGTGCACAAAACGAGTATTCTGCAACAGTTTGATTAAAAAAACTAGAATTGATAAATGGCGCACATGCAAGAGGAAAATACGAACAGGGCTATCGAGATTCACCAGATAACTTCTTCTATCGGAATTAATTATTTACATGTCAGCACATTGTGTTTTCTTATAAAAGCTTTTAAAACATCAAGCATCTCATATGGAAATAGCCTTCGAGAGACATAAGCAATTTGTCAGAAGCAATATCAGTAGTTCGCATTTGAAAGCATATAATAAAACAAATCATAAGAGAATTGGTTAATGTGTCCTGCATATAGAGTAGATATAAGTTGCCGCCTCATATGTTTCAAACGGAACTCTGCCTATTATCATTTTCTGTTAAGGATGGGTAGCACAAGGCCATTTTGTTAACAATTTTTTTGTCAATATACAATGCTGTTTTTAATAATTTGCACTCCCAAAAATTTGTTGTTGAATTGCTGTCTTTGTATAATCTAATAGTCTGTATTAGACAGGTCTTGTTTTCACATCAGACAGGTATTATAGACATATTAAACAGGTCTTTTCTCATTTCACATCAGACAGGTGTTGTATTCATATTAGCATATTAGACAGGTTTGTTTCCACATCAGACAAGTTGTAGTCATATTAGATTAGTACAGTAAAACTTCAGTGAACACCTCTCTCTAGTGAACACATGTGTCTTGTGAACACCTCTTCTAAGCACATACTCCACTGTGTTCTGTATAAATTGCCACTCTGTAGTGAACACCTACCTATAGTGAACACATTTTTGTGGCTCTATGTGTTCATTGTACACAAGTTTTACTTTGTTCTGTTTCTGTTAGTTAGGCCTTGTGTTTCCAATAAAGAAGTTCTACTGTGAGTTCTATAGGCATTATTCCTTTCTTCATTTGAATCACAATCTCGTGGAATGTCAATTCATTCTATCTAATAGCCTTATAATCGCCATTATTCACCATAAAAGATCACGATTCCTGATCTACTGCAGTTGTCTCTCATGATATTGCCATGGCAAATTGTGCGTAAACATTGAACATCAGTCATCCACATAAAATTTAAAATATTTAAAGAATTAAGAAAATGCTCTTATTTTGAGATATTCAATTTTTCAGGTTTGTTTATATGTATTGTACATACATGTACCTGTACATGACAAAGCTATTGGCAATTTACATTTATATTGACAAAAGGGTGTTAGGACCACAGGATTTTCATGCAGAGATATTTAGCATTACAGGTGTTGATATTGTATTTTAAGATGTTCTTGTTATTCTACAGATTTGTGAAATAACCATATACAGTAAAACCTGCGAACAGGGAATGCTCTTGGGACTGGAGGAAAGTTTCCTTGTTCAGAGGTCTTCCCTATAGAGAGGGGCACTTTCAGCAAACTCAAACTTGCAGAATAAGCATATTTGTATATATATGGGCATTGATTGATTGTACCAATGCCGACTCCACACTTGGTTAATACATTCTCCCCATGTTGATTTTAGCTGCTGCTAGGGTCTGATGATGTCTAGTTGATGTAATTATTGATATGATGTGTAGAGATATATTGATAAGAACTGAATTTCAAGTTTCATCAACCCCATTTTATATCATTGATAATCTAGAAGTTGGATCAGTAAAAGATTTAAAGAGATTTGGCTCAACATGGCGGAAGAATTAGTGTCATGATAATAAGTAACAAACAGATTAGTATTAGTTTTAAAATAAATCATGGTAATTAACAGTGGGTGGGATGCTACATCATGTAAACAATTGGCTTATCTTAATCTCAATCATATTAATCCAAGCTTTTTAGAATCAGATATTGGCTTAAGACTTTCATACCTCTGAAAAATAATGGAATATACAGTGTCACCAATATTCCATATTCCTTATTCACAGGTGAATTTTCATAATTTGCCCCAAAATAGTGTTCCTTGTTCCCTGTTCACAGGTTTTCCCTACAGAGAGGGTCCGTTTACATGTAAGTCAATGGAAAAATATTCGGTTATTTTGAAAAGCATTCCTTGTTCATAGGTTTTCCCTACAGAGAGGTATTCCATCGGACAGGTTTTACTGTATCTGATTAAAAAAAGAATTTATAAAGCACTTTTTGACATGGAAGAAATGCATCATCCAGGGACTAATCCAGGGATTATTAAGGTGATTTTATAAGCTTTTTCCAATCAATATCTTCTTGATTACATCCTCCTAAGCAGGTGTACAGAATCCGTACCTCCTTCTTCCCCCTGCTATAACCAATTTGGAAGCGCCCGATTAAACTGAATCACGTGATCTAATTATGCGCAATGACTTATACATGATTTCTGTTGCAGAGTTGCGACAGCCAATCAGATTGCGACTTCTTAATCGGGGAAATGCTAACTGCTTATCACAGGGGGTAAAAAGAAAGAATATATTCTGGATTTTGAAGCCCTGTGATCGGAGGATGCTTGATTGAGGAAAGAGAAATACCAGTTCATGCTGATACTGGTGTCAACAGATTGATAAAATATAATTTCCAAATTAAAAACTAAAAATGATATATGTATGCATTAAAATAAGCATTAACAAAAAAGGATAAACAGTTTCTAAAAATGAATTTTGAAAAATATATTGTTTTTGGCTCTAATTTAATTTTCATGTTAGGTGAAAAAAATTAGAAGCTAAATAAAAATTAAATAAGCTCATTGATAAAAATGAAGGACGCAAAATCTAATTCTGTCACATGAATACTATTACTATACGAGAGGTGATCCAAATGGAATAGTCAACATTTTAGAGACACACTGAATATTAGCCAAATTTGTCCATTACTTATGGACCACTCCTTGTACAATATAAAGTAAAACCTGTTTAATCCGAATACTTCTGAGACTGGCAGGTGTCTGAGTTGGCAGGTGTTTAAACTTTAAGGGTTTAAACATGGAAGTCTATGACAGATTAACAAAATGTGACTGAAAAAATGTTCATATTGAGAGGTGTTAGATTAGAGATGTGTTCGAAAAGACAGGTATTACTGTCCAGTAAAACCTGTGTATAGTGAACATTTGTTGTCGAGAAAAAATGTTCACTGTTGGTAGGTGTTCACTACAGCTAGGATTTGATTTTGCAGCATATTGCTGTATTTTATACAGAGACCAGTAATTAAACAAGGCTAAAAGAGAGGAGAGAATAATCAATTTAATTTGTATTTTCTCCCTACCCATGATAATCCATGACACTCTTGCGATAAGTTTTTCTTTTGTTGTCGTGTTACACAACTGACTTATTTTAGACCGACTGTCATCTGAATGGTTCAACCTTTTATTGTCTAATCTTCACAATAGGTAGGTGTTCAATATAGAATTGTACTTTAACATGGGAGTCAATGAGAGAAAAAGGTTTTGCCGAAAAAAATGTTCACTGTTGGTAGGTGTTCACTAGAGAGAAGTGTTCACTATCTCAGGTTTTACTGTCCTTGTCTGTGTTTTAGGAAGCTGACGGCTGGACAGTATGTATGAAGTGTGAAACATACAGACCCCCAAGGGCCCACCATTGTAGAATATGTCGACGCTGTGTTCGCAAGATGGACCACCATTGTCCATGGATAAACAATTGTGTTGGCGAGTTCAACCAGAAATTTTTTATACAATTCCTTTTTTACGTAGGTGAGTAAATTCTATGGGAAAATGTCATGAGTTCACTGTGACATAAATTCTTAATATTCTCTTGATGTCTTGAATTAAGTATTAAGTTGACATGAACACTGCTTCATGATCTAGACCAACTACTATTTTGTCAATTCAGTCAATTCTTATTCTACCCTGCACATAGAGTTTAGTTAGACGAAGCTTTTTTAAATAAAAATTTAAGTCAAACGAATTCGAAGGGTATTTTTATTCATTTGAAAAGTAGACATAAAGTCTGACCTAGGTAGTATAAGCACATCATGTTGGGGTGAATGTTATGAGGGGAAACAAGGTAAATGGTAGGTCTCTTCCATTAGAGTGTCTTTTTATTCATCTATTGTTTCAAATTGAATAACTATAGGTTTTAAATAATTAAAAAATCTACATAGAAAAGTGGTTGTTTGAAGCGAATTAACCAGGAATTATCTCTCAATTATACCCAATGGCACTTTCATCTTGTTAATGGGAACATTTTCTAAATTGCTATTAGTTTAAGGATGATAAATGGATCTTTTTGTATTCAATTTAATTATGGTTTACCTTTGCCATCCTTATAAATGAGGGAAATGACATTAATATTGACATACTGACATCTTCAACTCCTTGTACATACAACTTATTTTGTAATACATTATTGTAACCATTTCAATAACAAATTACCAGATGGTGTCATTTTATATTATGTAATTGCCTTGTTCCTGATTGAAATTGTGACATGGTTGTGATATTTGTGATTGATTTAAATTGTACTTTTGTGATAATGATAACTAATTAAAAGATAGAGGCATTTGAATTAACATTATTGTTGGCTCTGCATAAGATGAGCACATTTTTTATGGCAATCAGCTATTTTGGTAATTTTATGTGGAAACACTGACTGTAAGCAGCCATGATTTTTACCTAAGTTGGGGAAACCCAAGTGTACTCATTCTCTGTATTTCTGCTTTCAGGACTAGCTAGTATACATGGCATAGTGTTCCAAGTATACTAATTCTCTGTATTTCTGCTTTCAGGACTAGCTAGTATACATGCAAGAGTGTTCCAGGTATACTAATTCTCTGTATTTCTGCTTTCAGGACTAGCTAGTATACATGCCATAGTGTTCGAGGTATACTAATTTTCTGTATTTGTGCTTTCAGGACTAGCTAGTATACATGCCATAGTGTTAGTGATAGTCTCCTGGATAGTAGATCCTGACAGTATACATTATGAATCAAAACATAGTAGAATGTAAGTAAATATATGTTTCTTTCAAAAAGTTTGAATAATTTTTTTTGTTTTAATTGTACCCATTTTAAATATTTTCACTTTGTTGTATTACTGATCAGCTATTATTGTATTGCTGTTAATGTATTGATGCTATTATTGTATTATTGCTGTTAATATATTATTGCTGTTATAATTAGCTTAACATGAGAAATTCTACTGAAAATACTCGCTCACATTTTTTCAAATGAAATCGTTGGCCAAAGCTAGGTTTTTGTCTCATTTTGACCAAGAAAATGAGATCAGCCATTGTTCTTAGTTCACTCTTTCTAATAACTTTCATTTCTTACAAATTTAGCACTATCCGTTATCTAAATATGGCACATTGATGTGATGTTTGACATAAACATATTCATTTAGTCTTATGCCAGAAACTTACATTTTGTTGTGACATATTTTTATTAGTATTTTAAAGTGCCTGATAAACTATAAAATGCCCATGCGTCCAGGTGTTGATAAACTATAAATAGCGAAAACCCAGGGTTTGTCATCACAAGGTAAGCCAGGACGTGTTGAGCGAACATCTAGTGTTGATATTGAATTTACATGTAGCCAGATAAGTTTCCTTATTGAAATTTCATATAGTTATTAGCAATACTTTGTAGGTGATAATTAATAAAATATGAGTATATATGAGAGAAATTGGCCATTTCGAACCTGTTGAAAGTTTGTGGCTCTCGGCTACACTGGGGAATTTACTTCCATGAGTACAGACACAAATGTGGGGCTCCCCAAGAGGTACGCGAGAAGGTGACCTGGCATCAAATGTACAACTAAATGCTTCTATCGAGTAGATAAAAGAACGAATACGACAATAAGTTATTGCAAACGACAATTCCGAGCATTCATCTCACTGAAGTATTTTGAAGTGAAGAAAATATGATTTTTGTTTTGAAACATGGATTCAGATGAACGTAACTTCATTCTGACAACTAATCAAAACTGAACAAAATTGATTATACGCAGGCCTGTCAACTGTCCCGCAATTTGCGTATTTGTCACGCATTTGCTGAAGAATTTGAAGTCACGCCAATTATTTTTGCGTGACAAAAAATGTCACGCAAATACGCATTTTACCTGGTAATTGTCAAGCAAAAATATTTCTGTAGAAAAATTTTCTAAAAAAGATCAATTAAAGGAAAAATTTGAGGTGTTCAAAATTTGGCAAGATGTAATAAAATTTAAACCAAGGTGTTCAAAATTTGGATCAAGGTGTTCAGATTTGGACCAAGGTGTCCACATTTTGAGGGGAGGTGTTCAACATTTCCAAGTCACTCATGTTAGGTGTTCCCAAGTTGACAGGCCTGTATACGCAACAGACGATTTATTGTTTTACAATGTTTTGATCGGCTGAACGAATGAAACCAAGAAATTATGACATGTAAAATGGCAATTTTGAAATGTAAAATTTAAAAGTGACAAACACAACCTCCCTATCCACTCTTTATGAGCCCTAATATGTACATGCAGCAGTGGAAGTGTACAGCTTATTATCACACTACTGGGCTTTGTATTCCAAAGCTTGTTGTTTTAAATAACACTGTTCACTCGACGCAAATATTTTGTGTGTGCGCAGTCAACGATAATCATTGTTTTATCCCGGTTATATGACCTCGGCAATTATAACAAAACCGTACTAAACGAAAAAACGCAAATAAGAGAAAGCTTTCACACACATATAAAAAATGAACTAGTCTAATCCGCCAGTATAAACTCTGTTATATACATATCCAGGTCGGGCGCACACTTTAATCAACTATTTTATTTCTTAGTGATCAGTAAATGTTTTCGACCATTTAGCGATGATGATATGCCGTGATTGATGTCACTTATAAACCAATAAGACAGAAGTTCATCTTTACATAAAGATAAGCCAATGATATAATGACAGGTTATTTCCTCTCATATTTTGCCCATAATTTCCATCCTCTATTGCAGGTTCATCAGACTACAGCACAACCGCATAAATGAGATTATTCTGGAATTGGCACGGCATCATTTGAAATAAATTAATTTAAAAAGCACAAATGTGTGACTAATTGTTTTGGAACTGTTAACATTCACAGCTCATTTTTGTACAATATATCATTCTTACTCCTTAGAGGAATATGATTCCACACATTAAAATCTCTTGCATACAATTATTAACTGGAGAACTGGAGAATTCTATGTTCTGATTGGCTCCAACAGATCACATGATCAGACTCGAGACTTATGGGACACACCCTCCTCTTATATTCATTACAATGTGGTTTAATATTCTATTGTGGGAATAGTTTGCTGTGACTGATTTATGGTTATTCTTATTATATTTTATTGTGATATTTTCCTTATTGCAAGAATCAGGAAAAGTATTCATGCGTCGATCATACTATGTCCCATAGTCATTTTAGAGCCCTAATCATTCCAATCAGTCCTGATCATACTGTGACCTCCTCATTGTATTATGAATTTGCAAAAGACATTTCCATTTGAATCAGTTGTGATAAAACTCTTATTTGTATACCACAGAGAAGTCCCTAAAATGCATAATACTGTGAGCAACTCATAAGATGATATTAAACCTTCAAGTAGTACCTGATATTTAAAAGTATCAAATTGTGTCTTCTGTCATATAATTATATGTATTTAGTGGTGTGAGACCTTTATTGATAACTGTGGAGTTATACCATGTACATACATGTGCGACATCCGGTTTAAAGAATATAGAACAATTTCTAAGTTGTAATTTCTGTTTCGTTCGATATATTTATAGGATATCCTATGATTTTTAGGAATATCATTTTTATCTACGAGGTGATATTGATATCTGCCCAAACCTTTTTACCTTTATTCTGTTAATTTAAGGCGTCTTCTATTTGATTGGCCAGAGTTGTGGTTGCTATAGCAACCGAAACAGCAAAAAGGCGGGGCAAGTTTGTTTACGTCACAACTTTCCAAAACATATCTCCACAAAAGGTACATATTTGACCTGTAGCCTATAATCTGAGAGTCACGTTTAATCAAAAATTAGCTGTAGATCCTCCCCACAGCCATAATTACCATGAATCCACCTCATATAGCCCAAATCTATCTCATGAATCTCCAGAAATTGCATTGTTTCATGGCAAGATAATCAGATATATATGAACGCAAAAGGGAGTTTGGGACCAATTGAGCCAAGTTGCATCTTAAGCATAACGCCTCATTAGATTACCCATTAGAAATTTCACATGGTTGCTCCAGAGGGAAACAAAATTGCAATTATCTGCCTCAATAGTTACTCTAGAATGTAATTGATGATTATAAGGGGTGATGTAATACAGTTTATCATCTGGAGATAACAAAACTTAATACTATTTCTGCTATGTTTGTTATTTCATGCACATGTGTACATTTATATGATACATATGATAACTTTTTTTATCAGTCAGTGGATATCAAAATTATCCTATGGGAGATAAGCGATATTTTAAAGATATGTTTAAAAAATATATAAATAAATGTTCTAAAATTGATCAAGTAGTGTCCTATGATGAAGCAGATTTCAGATAACCTTTAAATGTGCCACAAATCCGACATTGATTTTCCTGCAGAGCTTAATTGTAATGTCGAACTTTGATTGTTAAGCATTAGTAAATAATTCTTTTTCGGAAATTGAATTTCAGTATAGTAGAGATCAATACGTTGTACATACATGTATGCTCTAAAATCATCCCTACTTTGACTCAGTCCTAAAGCCCTTGATATGCTAAAGGCCATTTGTCGGTGATAAATATCAATTTGATTGATTAGCTTGTTCTATTCAGAGACAGGAAAAGATAGTCGAACCATAGAGATACCACTTTAACATTAGGAAGCAATTTGTATTTTTCTATCACAATTTTCATCGCCTCGTGCAATATATTAATTGAGAATCGATGACATGGTGACCTTCCTGGTGATTGAATTGGAAGTCATGTATCATTTTTCGCCAAAAGACAAATGAATGAATTAATGTATTGTATAGATAGTCTTCTTTTAATTTATTTTATGAGGTTCGAGGCATTACAATGTGAACATTTTGCTTGTTTTTATGTCGCCACCAAAAGTGGTGATATATTGTTATGGTCTCCATTTTTGTAACGATGGTCAGCATCTGGTGTTTGGCATCTGTAACAAATGGCAGGTAGTGACTTTTTGCATGTTAATGCCTTGTTGTTGGGGTAGAGGCACTGTATATGTTTATATCATTGCAACTTTGTTCTAATTTTGAATCAATTAATATTGGCTTGCACCTCCTTAATATTCTCAAAGTTGAGAGACAATTTCCACTTTATGCCTTCAACACATGTTGTATTGATTGTAATGTTTCTGCATGTATACACAATACACATTACATGGTCTTGTAAAAGGTTTTATTAATTGAGTTATTCATTTGGGTGTTAGTAAGTGAATATCAACCCTAATAATATTCTACAGAGAATGGTAATCGCCTTTTAGCTTGTGTGTTTAAATGTTAAAGATATAAAAGCAAATGTTATTGCATATTATCATATTGTATCAGATCATATTGCATTTGGTTAGCAAATGTTATTGCATATTATCATATTGTATCAGATCATATTGCGTTGGGTTTCTTTATCATATTTTATGTAAAAGAATTAAACAATATAGCTATACAGGGGTGTAGCCAGCAATTGTCAAGGGGTGCGATTTTTGGGTTTGCATCACCATGAGCGTAGCGGGGTTTAAAAGGGGAGGTATGAGGGTTCAACTGGGAAATTTTTAAAAATTTAGATTGTGTGTGGTGCATTCTAAACATTTCAAACTACAATCTGATAATGTTTTTTCAACAAATTTTACGAAATTGCTTTTTTTATGGGGATAGGAGGGGGGGGGGGGGGGTGCGATTGCTACGCCCATGCTATATATTAATGCCTTTCAGTAGATTGTTATTACATTTACTTAGTCTTGATGCTAAAGTGATAAAGGGGTCAGAGGTTGGGTCAAAATATCACTGTTTTTTAAACACTTAACAAATTACACTTGGAATAGGAGGTGGGATCGTTCAGTCATAGTTATTGAAACAACAATTTCAATGTTCCTAAGGGAACTCTTAATATGACAGCGATAAAGTGATTGGCCAAACTGCTATTAAGGTGGGCCTACTGCCCCACTTTTGTACTTGCATACCATGTTAAATAGCCAAATTATTAACTGTGCATTGCCTACCTTACTGACCAGATGTATTTTACTTTCAGAATGCACACAGTCATCTTGGTAGTAGAATCAATATTGTTTGGAATATTTGTACTTGCGATAGGTTGTGATCAGGTAAGACTTGATAAGTTAACATTCAGGCCTGAGTCCCTCCTGCATTGTCAGTGGCCTCTGGAATCAACCCAAAAAGTAGCCAGCATCCTAATGTAAAGACGTCCCAAAATATATTTATATATGTATTCTCTGAAAGTATTTATATTTTCAATATTTATCAGACAAGGCCTTTAATTGCAAAGTGCATATTCAGTTCCAGGCGATATTACAAGATGAAACAGCAGTAGAACAAATACAGAGAAGGGGTCCTCACAGACAACAGAGAGCTACTAGGACACTATTAGCAGAGGTCTTTGGTCGAGGTGAGTCACGATGAACTAGTGTGTGTCACAATGAAAAATGTGTGTCACAGTGTACTAGCATGAATGACAATGCGCTAGTGTGTCACAATGATCCTGTGTGTGTCACAATGAACTAGTCTGAGTCACAATGAACTAGTATGTGTCACAATGAACCAGCAGGTGTTGCAATAAATATTGTATGATTCCCATCAAGTGCTAGTATGTATTCAAAATGGCCAAGGGGAAACTCAAAAGTATTTAAGAACATAAATGTAATACACAAATGTTCTATCATAAACTTTATCTATTTGTGAATTTATATGTTCTTTCAGGTCCACCTTCTTTATGGTTGTGTCCTTTTGAGTTCCAACCTCCGAACACTGAGCTAAATATGTATGAAGTCTAGGATATACCTCTGTTATAAGTTGTACATTACATGTACTGGAGATGTGATGTAGTGATGCAGGATTATATGATGTCACTGTGCAGGATTTGTGATGTTTATACAATGCAGTTTTGTGATGCATAGTGCAGGATTTCTGATGTTACAATGCAGGATTATTGATGTCACAATGCAGGATTTGTGATATTACTAGGTGTGTTTTGTGATGTCATATGCAGGATTTGTGATGCTGTTATGTAGTTGTATGATGTCACCTCTAAGTTTTGTGATATTACAATGCAGGATTTCTGATATCACAATGCAGGATTTATGATGCTACAATGCAGGACTTGGGATTGCATATAACAATGCAAGGGGCCTGATGTTCGACGGAGGGATTATTGGATTAATAAGTGTGCTGTCATCCAAAAAGCAGGGACAACTTGAATTAGATAGAAAAATGTCACTGAGGACCAATTATTCATTCATTCAAATTGAACATCATGTCAGTAAACAAAAAATTCCGAACATGATAATTTACCCCCCCTTCTTAACATCCAGATGAGTTAGGTTGGACATGTATATATAAAATCTATCTTGTATAGATATAAAAATCAGCTGGTCCCCATCAAAAATAATCAGGCTGACCAATGGCTCAGGCCATAATTAGTTTGTAAAAGTTCTGATAGAGGTTGCTAAATAGAACTGAAACGAATACAAATGAATTCATGTATTTATATTGTATATTATAGACAAGGGTTGTGCCGCAAATAAAAAAAGGTTTAAAACATGTGATGTTACCTAAAAGTTGCACAAATATGTCATACACTTTATATGGGGTGAGGCTATTTATTTATTTTATTATGTCACCACCAAAAGTGGTGACATATTGTTATGGTCTCCATTTTTTTGCGACGGCGGTTGGCGTCCGGCGGTTGGCGTCTGTAACAATTTCTTACAACTTCCTATAACTTAACAAATACTGTTTAGACTGACTTCAATTTTTTTCTAAATCATCTACATGTTCTCAGAAGTTCAAATCTGACTTTAGATTTGACATTTGACCTTCAATGACCTTCTCAAGGTCAAAAAGGTCTTTTTTCAACTTGCTTCACATTGACTAAATTTTTTTTCAAAATCATCTACATGTTCTCAGAAATTCAAATCTGACTTTAGATTTGACATTTGACCTTCAAATCTGACTTTAGATTTGACATTTGACCTTCAATGACCTTCTCAAGGTCAAAAAAGGTCAAAAAGGTCTGTTTTCAACTTGCTTCAAATTGACTAAATTTTTTTTTCAAAATCATCTATGTGTTCTCAGAAATTCAAATCTGACTTAAGATTTGACTTAAGATTTGACATTTGACCTTCAATGACCTTCTCAAGGTCAAAAAGGTCTGTTTTCAACTTGCTTCAAATTGACTAAATTTGTTTTTCAAAATCATCTACATGTTCTCAGAAATTCAAATCTGACTTTAGATTTGACTTAAAATTTGACATTTGACCTTCAATGACCTTCTCAAAGTCAAAAAAGGTCAAAAAGGTCTTTTTTCAACTTGCTTCAAATTGACTAAATTTTTTTTTCAAAATCATCTACATGTTCTCAGAAATTCAAATCTGACTTTAGATTTGACATTTGGCCTTCAATGACCTTCTCAATGTCAAAAAAGGTCAAAAAGGTATTTTTTCATCTTGCTTCAAATTGACTAAATTTTTTTTCAAAATCATCTACATGTTCTCAGAAATTCAAATATGACTTTAGATTTGACATTTGACCTTCAATGACCTTCTCAAGGTAAAAAAAGGTCAAAAAGGTCTTTTTTCAACTTGCTTCAAATTGACTAATTTTTTTTTCAAAATCATCTACATGTTCTCAGAAATTCAAATCTGACTTTAGATTTGACATTTGACCTTCAAATCTGACTTTAGATTTGACATTTGACCTTCAATGACCTTCTCAAGGTCAAAAAAGGTCAAAAAGGTCTGTTTTCAACTTGCTTCAAATTGACTAAATTTTTTTTTCAAAATCATCTATGTGTTCTCAGAAATTCAAATCTGACTTAAGATTTGACTTAAGATTTGACATTTGACCTTCAATGACCTTCTCAAGGTCAAAAAGGTCTGTTTTCAACTTGCTTCAAATTGACTAAATTTTTTTTTCAAAATCATCTACATGTTCTCAGAAATTCAAATCTGACTTTAGATTTGACTTAAAATTTGACATTTGACCTTCAATGACCTTCTCAAAGTCAAAAAAGGTCAAAAAGGTCTTTTTTCAACTTGCTTCAAATTGACTAAATTTTTTTTTCAAAATCATCTACATGTTCTCAGAAATTCAAATCTGACTTTAGATTTGACATTTGGCCTTCAATGACCTTCTCAATGTCAAAAAAGGTCAAAAAGGTATTTTTTCATCTTGCTTCAAATTGACTAAATTTTTTTCCAAAATCATCAACATGTTCTCAGAAATTCAAATATGACTTTAGATTTGACATTTGACCTTCAATGACCTTCTCAAGGTAAAAAAAGGTCAAAAAGGTCTTTTTTCAACTTGCTTCAAATTGACTAATTTTTTTTCAAAATCATCTACATGTTCTCAGAAATTCAAATCTGACTTTAGATTTGACATTTGACCTTTAATGACCTTCTCAAGGTCAAAAAAGGTCAAAAAGGTCGGTTTTCAACTTGCTTCAAATTGACTAAAATTTTTTTTCAAAATCATCTACGTGTTCTCAGAAATTCAAATCTGACTTTAGATTTGACATTTGACCTTCAATGACCTTCTCAATGTCAAAAAAGGTCAAAAAGGTATTTTTTCATCTTGCTTCAAATTGACTAAATTTTTTTTCAAAATCATCTACATGTTCTCAGAAATTCAAATATGACTTTAGATTTGACATTTGACCTTCAATGACCTTCTCAAGGTCAAAAAAGGTCAAAAAGGTCTTTTTTCAACTTGCTTCAAATTGGCTAATTTTTTTTTTCAAAATCATCTACATGTTCTCAGAAATTCAAATCTGACTTTAGATTTGACATTTGACCTTTAATGACCTTCTCAAGGTCAAAAAACGTCAAAAAGGTCTGTTTTCAACTTGCTTCAAATTGACCAAATTTTTTTTTCAAAATCATCTACATCTTTTCAGAAGTTCAAATTTGACTTTACAAGTTCTCAGAAATTCAAATCTGACTTAAGTTTGAACTCATAATATTGTGAGCAACTAGGTGGTGACATTTTGTCATGTTAATGGCTTGTTGCTTTTTATTATGCTCATCCTTGATTGCGCTCCACATTCTCTAAATATGATTGACAAAGCATAAAATATTGGATCCAATAAGCAAATGTTATGGGGAAATACGGTAAAACCTGTATATCCAAACACCTCTCAATGTGAACACTTTCTTTGATACAATTTTTTAATTTTCCATAGGCTTACTAAACTAAACTAACTAAATGTTAAAAAACTTGAAATGTAAAAACCTGCCAATTCAAACACTTGGCCAGTCCTCGTGGAGTTTGAATAAGACAAGTTTTACAAGTTCATAACAGAACCTTCTCAACTCCTTTTAATTGAATGATCAGCCAAAGCTATATGCTGAAGTTACTTATTATCAATTGCTGAAATGTGGCTGGTGTTTTACCAATCAATGCCATTCAAATTTGATTGATATTAGACACAATCGTTGTTGTTACACATGTGCTCAAATGTGGTTGCAATCAACACATTTCAATCAGCATTGTATGTCATACATAGCGTTGAATAGGACATATTTGTTGAGATATTAAAAAATGTCTGTATTAGTCCCATTAGTGGAATGGCTTTTTGATGACATTAAAGAGACATCAACAACTAGAAACATGCCAAGAGTAACTCTCTTCAAAATTGTCACAATTTTACAATTTCCTCACATTTCTTGTCATGCCTGTTTTGTAAAAGTCCTATTGTTTTGCATTGTTTCATGATAATCCCTTGTGAATTTGAACATTTCAGTATTTCATAAATCCCATGAATAATTCCATCAGCCATCTTGATTCTATTTTTCAGATAATAAAATACGGATTTTTAAAGAAACTTGGCATGATTTTTTGAACAGATTGCTTCCAACATTGAACTTTCGCTTTTCTTTACGGCCAATTTAATGATTTTTGACGTTTCCAAGCTTCCAAGATAAAAATAAAAATATTTTGTTGAAAATGCAATTTTGGCCCACCAAATGTTATATAGTAGTACTTAAAATATGGTATAAAATAAATAAATACATGACAGTTAAGGATTTATATGTGCAATCAATGGGTTTTAGTGAAGTTAATGGAATAGTATTGTACCTTGTATTTGCTGTATATTATGTAAAATAACAGTATGACTTCTGGTATATTTAATTTGTATATTTAGTTTTCTACTCCCACTATATATTGCATATTCAAACATATTTTAAACTCATGCACTGCACAAGAACTTAGATACATTTATGTAAGAAATGTCCCACAAACCTAAGTCACGGATTGGTATTATCCATGACCTAATCACATGCGGTAGGCTGATCATATCATAATTATCACAGGACTTGATTCACATCAATGTGTATGTATGATACACCAATGTCTATGTATGTTACACCAATTAGTGTTTTGTAAGCTACAGTACGAATTAAAAATTTCAAAAACGCTTTACTTAAGCTTTATTGTCCAGTTTAAGAACCCATATTCTTACTATTGAAAATGTATTCTAGCAACACTATCCCACAGAATGTACTTGCTGAGATACAATCAACTTGAGTTCTTCTGAGAGAATGAGAATTGTGTATCTATTCTAATGGTGACATAAATGATGGTATGCTGATGCTAAGTCAATAGTCAATGGTGTATATCCCCATGTTAAATCCATGCTACCCCTGTTGAAATTCTCTCAGAAAACTCAAGTTGATTGAGTCTCATCGAGTAGATTCATGTGGGATTGTATTGCTAAAATTCATTTTCAATAGTAAGAATATGGATTCTTAAACAGGACATTGGACTTGTTTTTAGAACTTTTGTTTGCTCTCGTGAGGCACATGTAAATTTATGATTCCGCAAGCAGCTCATGGTATCACTGAGGCATAGATACTTCCTGTGTCAGTACACTATAAATATTATTGCACTGTATATAGAAGTGGTGCTGTTATAACTGGTACAATATTGCCTGCTTCCATTTTTTTGTCCATTTGAACATACTTGAGTAACAAGATGTTAGTTCATACTCTTTATGTTTATATCAAAAAACTGTCAAGAACACCTCCATAAGTTGAACACTTCAGTCAAGCAAACTATTAATCAAATGTTAAGTGAAACTGTGCAAGTGGCACACTTTAGAGGTGGCCCACTTGCACTGGTTATGCGACATAAAGTATGTGGATATTACTATGTACAGGGTCTGTTGTTAAATATTGAACTGATTTATTCACTGTACATACAGTGTTTCAATGCAATGTCAGCCATATCATTTTAAACTCAAGTTAAACTCTGACATTATTCTTGATTTCAAAATACAGATTTTGGTCAAAACCTGTTATTAAGTAATTTTATTGCACCCCCCATCCCATTAATAATGAAACCATAAATGTTAAAAACATGTGCCTGAATAGAAAACCATTATTAACCAATTATTATTGTTAGCACCTCAGTGTAAATACTCGCATCTGATTGGTCAATTAGCGGTCAACATTTTTGCCTGTACCCCACCTGTGCATCATGGGATATCATATTATTGACCGCGTATGTTACTGTACTACACTTGTGAATTATGGGGAATATGACGTCATAATGTCAAAATAATGTCATAATGTCAATGTCATGGTAGACGGACATTTTGCAAACGTTGATGAAAGTGATATTTTGTCTTTACTAAACGACAAGTAGAGCAAAAATACAAATAGAAACGTAAATTTAACATTAATTTACTAGTGAGTACGCAGTGATGTGCCGAAACAGAGAGTTTAACTACCACTGTCTTCAGATTTTTGCGTGGTTCGAAGAAAAGATTGTGAAATGAAGCCATGATTGATGATTATCCAGTTATCGTCTATATGTGTATTATTAGTTTCTTCTGACTAACAAAACAATTGTAGACCTCTCCATTCGGTCAACCGTTAAAATCATATACCTCGACTGTAAACCTTGAAACTACTGTTGACCTCGACCTTCGGTCTCTGTCAACAGTAGTTTCTCGGTTTACAGTCTCGGTATACAATTTTGCCGGTTGACCTCTGGAGAGGTCAACAATTGTATAATGGCATTTCAAATTAAAAATGTATTTGCCTTTTAAACCCTCTGTTGATACCAATAGATGGCATGTCAGAAATGTAACATGTAAATGTTGCTTTAATGTCATGTTTCGACACAATGGAGATACTACGTTATGAAAATTTAAGATTGGAATTTCTCATTCAGCGTACACTGAGGGTCTGCCTACTTTATTATAATAGTACATGCTTATAATGTACTGTTTTCTGACAAGCTTTGATACTATTGTCAACAAAAGAAATATAATGCGGAAATGAATATTACATAATAACAATGATATGATATATTCATTGATATCAATCCAACAAAAGTTTCATAACTCTGTTCTAACAGTTGGAAGAAGATGCAAGCTTTGTGTTGTATCTATTCCTGACATTTTTGAAGTAATATTTACATGTTATTTAACCCCCTGCATTTTGTGCCATTTATCAATTAAAACCACTAGTTATGATTTTAAGGGGTACCAGTGTTTTGAGCCAACCCCTGAGCTGAATTTACCAAATTTGTCACGTTTTGTCACAACTCGTGTTAAAACAACGGAATGTATTGTTACAGAAGTGCATTAGAAAATCAGGCAATATTGAAAATATGAGCCACTTAGTTGATTACATGGGATTAATGGATATTACTTTGTGGTAAGTGCTAGAACTGTGCTTAGGGAGATGATACAATGCAATATTTTGCTAAAAGGTGAAACTAATTATTTTACATTGTGAAATGTTTTCCTACTTGGAAACAAGATTTAAACTTAGTAATAACAAATACTAAATATAGATGGCATGATATGTGATAATGCTGATCTGATGCTTCTACACCAAACCAAATGGCTAAATCAAAAAGGGCCAAAAATTAGGAGGAGTACACTTTATTTCATTCTGTTTTTGTCATTTTATGTAGTAGATTATAATGTGTGCTAATTTGAGCTGTAAGTCTCCTTTAATTTTCAATAAATTATTTCTCCTGTCTCTACAAGAACAACCCAAGTTAATCTAAGACATTTTATACTTGTTTGTATGTTTATTTGTCCTAGGTTGAACAAACGTACCCTGTACATACTATTTATTTAAAATGAAATAAGTGTTTAATACAGTGTATGTAAACTGTAACTGTAAACTGACCATATAATTGATCTTTATCTCTGAGCTCAGCATTCATAACCATGGTTTTACACTAAGCTATTGAAAATCCCATTTTATTAGACAAAGGCACATATTTTGTATTTTAGTTACTTTGCCTGTAAAAACATGCAGTTTCTTTTGCAGCTGGGTATAATATTAAATATTGCCTGTCTTGTGAGTCTTTGCCTTGTGATCCATCTTTAGATTAGAGATGTTTAATTTTGCTGCATCAATAGATGTCAGAATTGGTAACATTTTTATAATAATGTGCTGTTAATTTTACATAGAAGTTCATTTTCTGGATTAGCATATCCTTAATGTTGGAAAAATACCATAATTCTTCTATTATAAAATATTATGTTTATTGTATGTTATAATATATGATATGAAAAAACTGATTCGATTTAATTACTGTGGCCTTATACTTTAAAAAAAGCAAAATCAATTTTAGATAGTATTCTAGTGTGTAGTGGCACTGATTTTGTGTAAGATTATTACTGTATAGAATATTTGTTTTCTGTAAGTTATGATTAATAATTACTGTATGTTATGATTTATAATTACTGTATGTTATTATTATTGATTACAGTTAAGCTCATGAATGTATTTTTCCTGAAAGTAATGAGGAAATAAATACTGATTTTTAAAATAAAACATTCCAATGACCTGTGCAATTTGTATCAATATTTTGCAATACAGTGCAGCACATATTGCACTAACTGTACCAAAAACTCTCAGATGACAATACATTACCTTGTGAAAAGAACTTTCACTCATGTTTTCACTCTTTTCACTCATGGAATCGTCACATTCAAAGTTATTATTAACTTACCTTACCTTAAACACTGTAATTAAAAACATTTGATATAGAAACACTTAATACTTCACGACAACCAGATCATATTTGAGCTTACATATTCATCTGAAAGTTCCTTTATTGGCTAAAGTACATCTCTCTGTGATATAAAAGATTGGCAGTTTTTTATTGAGATTGTTTGCATAACAGTTGTATATTGACATACAATTAAAGTATTGGAATACAATAACCATTAACAGATAAATGTAAGTGATCTGGATGGTAAGACTAACTATGATTGAAAGGAAAGCAAGACAGAAAAATCCATTATAAGTAAAACTATACATGTACTTTCATGTTTGGAATATTAAGCAGATAGTGTAGTGCTTTCATATGCTTCATGGAGCAAGTTGAGTTGAAAGGATCATAATGGCAGACAATGGATCTTTGATCTAAGAGCACCGATACCTAAATGGATACTTTTCTTGAAAAGTTGTTAAAAGTTTTGGAAAATGACTTGATTTTGTCTAATCCTTTAGAATTAATCCTTTGATTACTTTCACAAAACAACACTGACACGTTCTTTAACATGTCCCATCATAAAAGAAGACTTTTAATATTTTGGAACCCATGGTTTCTCCAGTTTAATCCATCCATCCACAAGGGGATTGCATTTTTATAAGAGTTGATTCCAATATCAGCAGAATTAAGTGATAATTTCTTCTTGCCCAAATATTCTACGGTATATTTTTTACATCTCATATTCAACATTTGTACCCCTTGTTCTTTATGTTTTATACCAATCTACACCAACAGTAATTGAAAAAATGTGTTTATTTTTTAAAAAGATAAAAACAACCAATGGTGTATTCTATAAAAATATATGTTATTATAAACAAACTATATACATGAGTAAATATAAAATTATTGGTTAGACATCACTGCTTTGTCTGGGGTCTAGGTTAGTTATATCCTTGCATAAAGAAGTCAATGAGAGTTTGGATAATCTCCTTTCTGCATCTACCTGTTCCTCGGACAGTTCATTAATTGTATCCATATTAGGTGAATCTGGCGGTGTCTTGTAGGTAATGTACTTACTAGGAGAGTTACCTAGTGGTGTGTCTTTGAATTCAGAATTTTTATGTGGTGAGTCACCACTTACACTTGGTGTGTCATGGATCTGTTCTGTTTCTATATATGGTGATGGTATATGATGGACAGGCTGGTCACTACACAGCACAGAAGCTGGACCTTTATGCCTTTCAACAGAATTTTTATCACATCCAAATTTGATATTTTTGTAAGCTCTCTTCAAGTGTTTTGTTAGCTTGCCAACATCTAATAAGACAATCCCTGGAACGTACATACATTCACATGAAATTCAGATCAGGTTTCACAAATATATACTGTACTATCGATTTTGAAGTAATAGTTTTTGGGATGAGTGGAACCCCTTTGGACACGTATATACATAAGTACACATATGAATAAGATCTTAAAAATGACAATGTTTGTCTTATAATCCTAATTTTATTTTCAGAAAACATTGAGACATATGATTCAATAATGAAATTAGTGAAGACCTGAAATGTAGAAATGTCCTATTCCATTAGAATTACAAAATGGGACATCTATACAGTACATGATGACAAGCCACATAGCACCCTACCTATTATAGCACAGATGACCAGGATAAGCCACATGCTACCCATAGCATCTGCTCCCTCTGCTTCGGATGGCTCCCAAACTATTCTCTTAGCTCTCTTATACCCTGGTTCAGTTGCATTTTCTGAAATCAAGTCGCATGTTGGAATACAATATTCAAATATTAACAAGGCATTAACATGATACATGTCCTCACCAAGCTTGTTATTGCAAATGGTTACAAAACTGCAACAATACAATTGGGCACCCTAGTAGTCACACAAAATAATCTGTTTCCATGGTAACATATATTCATTGCCATGGTAACTGAAACTGTCAAAAATATGTTAAAAGTCATAATATGTCTATGTGTGTTGCCAATAAAAATTTCAGGTCCATGTGAACGCTACTTCTTAAAATTATTGCAAATGGTCACAAAATGTTACACTTCACTTATTTGTTGCAATGGTAACAGATATTGGCAGAAATGTGTTGAAACGCATGTATACAGTCAACATGTATACAAATGTTGACAGTAAAAATTTGAAGTCAGTCTAAACAGTACTGGCTTAATTATTGGAAGTTGTAATTATTAGTTATAGATGCTGAATGCCAAACACCATCCACAAAAAGATGGAGACTTACTTTTCTGGTGGTTACATAACAAAATAACAATAGCTCACCGATGTGCACTAAAAATGATATACACTTTATCATTGATTAATTTTTAGACCTCAAGGTACATGTACATGTATATAACTCAATAACACTCAATTTACCTTGTAAATCAGGTGTGACATCTATAGTTATCATTGTTGTTGTAGACTCTGTAGTAGTCACATCTTCAGTTGCTAAGGTAACAGACTCAGTTGCTAGGGTAGCAGATTGACTAACAGTTGTTTCCATAGCAGCTGTTGTCGGATCAGGAACGAATACTATAGTCTCATTTACTGGAAGAACATTTACTCTTATGAAGTTTTAGATAACAACTAATTAGATAAAATCAATGAAAAACTTAAATTCAAAAATATTTTAGACAAGAGTATAAGCTGCAAAATTAATCATAATTTAAGATAAAATAAATGTACCACATTTTGTGGCTCACTTGGTAGTATCTGGACAGTGTAAGGATATATATGAAAAATGAGGTATTTCATTGAAATTCATTTTTAGATACATGAGACAGACATAGACAAATCATTTTCGCCGAGTAGACTAGGTTTTTATACAATGAACCCCCCAGGTGTATCATAGATGCACAAAAAGTCTGTATTGGAACATTGATGTAACAAAACCATACTGACATAGATTTGGTTATCAATTATTAAGGAATACTTTCAATCTAAGTGTTATTGATCACTACATAAACACAAAGGGTTGGGGAATTATTGAACAATTATTTAAGTTCAAAAGCTTCAAAACCTTCTTCTGACGTAAAAATAAATAATGAGGAAAACCATGTTGTGCCAAAATCAATGTTACAAAGTGTCGAACTTTTGAAGCTTTTTGAAGTCAGTCTTATGGTTCTGTAAGGATATGGATTTACCTTTATTATACAATATAATATAAAACGTAATATAAATCAGATATATGATAGATTGAGATCATAGGTGAATAAAATTACCACCCACATCGCCTCCAGACCCCCTTGTTCACTCTTCTACCATTTCGATAAAATAATCAAAATTCCATGTCAATTGTGCAAGAAACGCTTTTACTCACAGCAAGTGATGTTTATTCTTGGCTCTTCATTCCACTGGCTATTTCCCCAGTAGGTCCAATTTTTAGTCAGCTTCACATCCTCTGGGTTCACTACTCTACTGGCCACTGTGACAAATGCACTGTTAGCTCCAAGTGTGTTCCCAATCATCCAGTAACCTGACCAATAAAATAATAGATTTTTGTCAAATTTTATGGATGCAAACAAAATGTACATGCAAAATAATATACCAGTACATATAATAGAGATTGTATTTTATGTGTTCATGGTTTAATGGTTATTACAGTATTTTTAATCGCTTTTGTCAAATAAGTGAACATTTTGGAATTACGAATGACTCAAAATATTATCCTACTCTCAACATTCATCAGCCAACATTTTGTTAAATGGAAATTGCAAAAATAATATTAATGCATAAACAGCTTAATAATTCCAGACTTCTCCGGTTATTGACACATACAATTTTTCATTCACAATCTGCGAAGAAACTATTGGAATGGGATATCATTACAGAGACATTTAATTATCTATTATCATTTCTCTGAGACAAGTAATCACCATTATTCATACACAAAATAATAATCAACACGATTAATTGAATAAAAATGTATAAACAATCAACTCCAGACACTTTATTCCATCTTTTTTATTACAATGACCAAGGGCAACCCAAACAATCTATTTCATATGTTTTATAACAATGTCCATGGGCAACCCAGACAACTCATTCCATCTGTTTAAATTACAATGACTATTTTCATGTAGTCAGAGAGTCATTCTGCATTTAACACAAAAAATGTGTTTACTGAAAAAGAGGACACTAGCGGATCTGGGGGCTTGCCCCCACCCCTTGGGTGGGCCCAAAAAAAGAATTGGTGGGCCTTTTTGGTCATAAATGGGCCTTTATAGGCCATACTTTTCAATTTCAGACCAAATTTTGAAGGAAACGGGCCTCATAATTTCAAAAATGGGCCCACTTTGGAATTTTTGGGGCACAAAATCTTTTCCCAGATCCGCCCCTGGAGGATGATATCAAATGATTGCGTATCCATTGCATTAACATCAATATCATAATACTAGGATATTGTAAAAACACATTTTAACATTATAGCAATGTCACAAAGAGGTTAGGTCAAATAATCTACATGATTTGACAAACTTCAGCATCTGAGTGTTTGCTGTGGAAAGTTGAAATTTAATGCAGTTGTAAATTTTTGACATGATTTAGCATTATGTTATATGCAGATAAATCATTATATTGTAAACATACTGGTCAGTATTGTTCTTTGAGACAAGTACTGTTCTTGTACATAGATGGTTAATTAACATGTTAGTCAATGAAACTAAGTTCTTTGAAAATAAATCTATATTGAGAGGCAATCCTAAACAGTATTGTTCTGTCAGATAGGTTTCACTGTATGTACTCATACCTCTTCCATTCAATCTAAACAGTATTGTTCTGTCATACAGGTTTCACTGTATGTACTCATACCTCTTCCATTCAATTCAATTCAATTTCAATCTTTTTTAGTCAATATTACAAACTAAAATTAAACACAGTATGTGGTACTTTCTTTAATTTTTTTTGTTGGGTCTACCATCTCCTAAAGGAGAAACTAAGTCTCTCCTTGAAACGCCAGATTTTCAGAATAATTAATCGATGGACCTATTTTCTAACATAAAGTTGTAAGTATCAAACTGCACCGAGGAACATTAATGCATAAGTGCTCTTGAATCCTACTTTCATGACAGCACGTTTGTTTTGATATCAAACAAATGCTTTTTAACATAACTTCATAAATAGTCAAGTATTGTAACATAGAAAATGACATTCTTTGGAGTACTCACTGTATTACATTATTGTGTAACCCATAGCCTGTACTATCTCTTGGAAAACACAACTCGATCATAAGATAAAATGAGGGACTCTTATATCTCAAAATAGCGGGTTTAAGCTTGCAACTGATCAATTCCCTCAGTCTCTCAGCAATGTCTCATAATTCAACAAAAATAAATTCAAACAAACACCACAATAAAGGGCAAAGTGCTTATGATTTTAGAGAGCATATGCTAATACAATGCAATAACATATTATATTCTCTAAGTAGAGGGATCGACCTAGGGCCTGGTGAGACATGATGCAATAAATACAATATCTCATTCTTCTCAAGTGAAGGAGATCAGATATAATTGATCTTACAATATACATTACATCATCGACAATTGCTGCCTGGATATGTCTCACATGTTCATATCAATACAATGACACATTTTTAAGTTGAACACCTCTATAAGTGAAACACCTCCATAAGTTGAACACCTCTATAAGATGCACACCTCTATTAGTGGAACACCTCTATAAGTGAAACACCTCTATAAGTGAAACACCTCCATAAGTTGAACACCTCTATAAGTGAAACACCTCCATAAGTTGAACACCTCTATGAGTGGAACACCTCTATAAATGGAACACCTCGATGAGAGGAACACCTCTATAAGATGAACACCTATATTAGTGGAACATCTCTATAAATGGAACACCTCGATGAGAGGAACACCTCTATAAGATGAACACCTATATTAGTGGAACACCTCTATAAATGGAACACCTCGATGAGAGGAACACCTCTATAAGATGAACACCTCTATTAGTGGAACACCTCTATAAGTGAAACACCTCTATTAGTGGAACACCTCTAGAAATGGAACAGCATTATAAATAAAACACCTATTAAATGGAACTGTATTATAAGTGAAAAACTTCTTTAATTGAACCACCTCTTTAAGTGTAACAACCCTGTAAGTGTAACATCTCAGGTGGAACACTTTTCAAAGTCCTATTATCAATTACTATCAATTAATTTAATGTAACCTTTGTATGTGAAACACCCCCCCCCCAATGGAACACTATTTTGAGATTCCAAAGGTGTTACACTTACATATGTTTTACTGTATCAATATTTTGCATTTGTATGATGCATTGGTGAGGAGATTCTTGAATGCCAAATAGTGCCTACCATAGGCTACTAATGGCTGATAGGCAATGGGTGAAATGAGGTTGTTATGACACTGTTTTAAACAATTAGCCTAAAAATAATTTGCATCTCTAATTAAGCTCACCAAAAAATGGTTACTATGGTAACTTGACTTTTGGGTATGTAGGCACTTTTTCCGTCACGCTATTCTATGGTATTTGTTAATTGATAACCCATTACACCTTGCATTTTGCCTAAACAGACAAAAAACAAACAAACAAACATGCATAGATAAATATTGGTACGTACCATACTCATGGAAGTAGAGGTATTTGTCCTTTGCACTGGAGAAGACAGCTGGCTTGTCATTGTGCATAGAGTGGAATATGTACACGTCCCCAATGAAGCCAGATATAGCAATACCCGGAGGCACTTCCACAAGCACCTCAATGCACACTCCAGGGAAACTGGCTGCAAATACAAATCTATTCATTTAATCAATCTCATTCCAAGAGAATGAAATTACAAAGATAAAGAAATATTTCCACTGAGTCCTTGACGACATTAAACCTTATTTTCAATAAATTAATCAAAATATTTTTGATCTATCTACGTCTCTAATGATCTTGAATATCCAGAAAAATTAAATAATTGTTCTTTGTGATGAGACCAAATAGATTGCTTTGTGATCATGATTTGCCTGTTGGGATATTTTGTAAGTTTGTCGCCACCTCAAGAATGTTGACATTCTCAAAATTCAGACTCAGTACACATATCTTTATCAATATTGCTTCATGTTCCATTAAAGTATCACGTTTAATATCACGAAATGTCACTATTATGAACTACTAATGTATCACAGAATAATTGAAAACGTTCTTCAATAAGAAGCAAAAATCATGATTCTTATTACATTAGTTATACACCTCGCTACCGTATGGTTTTATCCTGAATTTGTGCTACATTTTCTGCTATTTATCACAATCTGAAATACTAATGGATTCAGTCAACATAATCGGCATGATTGATGACATGAAACAACCTAATGTAGCTCATGCTCATGAAAAAAATCATTGGGCGATCAGTCAATTTGAATGAAACTGCTGATTTGCTGTCATTTCCTAACCATTGGAGTGTTTACTGTTAAGTTAATCGCTTCGTGATTCTCGCTGATTTGAATTAAAACATCCCCAGCATTCTGATTTAACAGAGTCTCTCTTTATCTAACTTGTGAGGGATCGTACTGGCTATGGATGACACAATGACCCTCCAGGGAAACACTATTGCAAAACATGTTAAAATGACTGGCCATACAGGCCCATAGCCAGCTTTGCCAAGTTGACTTCTTAAAAATTCCAGGGGGGTTAACTTTTGACAATTTTTTTTCAAAAATGGTCAAAATCACTTAAAAAGTCCTCAGAATGGTGAAAAACTGCATGAGCTTGAATCTATCGAAACCCCCTGGCTATGGGCCTGGCTTAAACATAAAGACGTAAATCTCATATCTGGGCCGTGGCTTAAATCCAATTAGACAAGACATACAGTACAGGAAATTACAGGTCCCTAGATCAAATAGAAACTGCCCTGTTAACCAAGTCTCCTTTTATTAAACCTCTCCAAGATTTTCTTTATTTATTGAAAAGGTGTCAAAGGAATGAGTCTAATGATTTAATGTGATTTCCCAGGTTTTTCTTTAATTATAAGTTCAATCATGTGAAGAAAGAGCAGGTTGTTTTCAGTAGAAATAGTAAGTATTGACTCTTTTATTGTGTTAAAATGAGAAATTGTTAAAGATACAGTATTCCATAGGTTTCTCTTACGGACAATCAGTGATGTCCCATTATAATTGCTTATAAAATATCTTACATACCTTAGATATATCTTGAGACCAATTTATGGTATACAGTATTCCCAATATATTGAGAAAATCAACAGAACAACCAACTGTCAGAATTGAACACAATTGAATTCGATCGCGGCAATCAAGGGAAAACCCAAGTGACAAGTGTCAAGTGACACCAGCACACGAGCGTCGGCAAACTAGACACATGCCTATTGAGCCATGCAGTCAATCAGATTCAAAGGCGGTTTTTAATTTCTTTTAGAATTTTTCAGAACTGCCATTTATTCCATACTGATCAACAAATTTAATGACCAATCAGATAACATATGGATCGCATTGGTATATTCAACTTCCAGATAATTAATATCAATGAAAATAATTCGGCCAGTCAGCAAAATCGCAAAATTAGCACATAAAATGGCAGTTTTTGGATTCTTTGTTCTGGTAAGTAAATAGCTGAATAAGTGGTAAGCAAAACATATAAAAAAGTCCAGGGGGTCTTGGTTGTGCTTTTCTATCACAACATTCCTCTTTAATTAAATTAAACAAACAATATAGAATACATCTGATGTAAATGTTTTAGTTCTCACTTTAAGTGAAAAAAGTTTCTGAGTGTGCAATAGATTGTACTGTACATTGTATTTAACTTTTATTTATTCAAATAAGATTAATATAATGATATTTATTTATAAGATCAATGTTAACTGTTTTTATTCTGTTGCCCAAATAACTCCCTCAATTACAGATTTTTGTAACAAATTTCTATGGTTACACAATGACTCTTGAATACTGAGATCTTATAAATATGAGTCATTAGAATTATAACAAATTTATGACAAGGCATTAACATGACAAAATGTCACCTCCTACTTGCTCACGATATTATGAGTTCAATCTTTAAGTAAGATTTGAATTTCTGAGAACTTTTAGATGATTTTGGAAAATAAATTGGTCAATTTGAAGCAAGTTGAAAAAGACATTTTTTTACCCTGAGAAGGTCATTGAAGGTGATATCTCAAATCTAAAGTCAGATTTGAACTTCTAAGAACTTGTAGATGATTTTGAAAAAGAATTGGTCAATTTGAAGAAAGATGAAAAAAGACCCTTTTGACCTTGAGAAGGTCAAATCTTTTTTGACCCCTTGAGAATGTCATTTAAGGTCAAACCTATAGCCAGATTTGAACTTTTGAGAACTTGTAGATGATTTTGAAAAAAGAAATTGGACAATTTGAAGCAAGTTGAAAAAATACCTTTTTGACCTTTTTAAGTTGTAAGAATTTGTTAAAGACGCCGATCGCCAACCACCAACCGCCACTGGTGGTGATGACATAAAAATTGTATTAATTTACATTATATTATTTTGTATTATATCATATTAGTATTATATCATATCATATCATATCATATTTATCCCATACTTGGACATGTTACAGGTACATAAAGCAGGTTTGTAAAAACTTATATTTTTCATCACCAGTTCAGGATATTGGAATTATACCTTGGCCAATATAGTATACCTACCTTAGGGACCTACAGCCCCAAGGCAGATATATTATATTGACCTTGGTATAATCAAAATATCCTGAACCTCATATAGGATAATCTCTATATATAACAACAGGATTTAAATTTTTAGATATGCAGTACTACATTTTATCTTATTTTAGATATGTGTCTGAGAGGTTAAAAACTTTCAAACCTACCAGACAAAACACATGGAATCAGTAGTATAAAGTATTTGAGGTATTTACTCCATCGTGTAACTTCCCTTAACATTTTCACAAATGTTGTTTTAACTGTTCTGCAGTGTTAATCATCTATTAATTAATTGCTTAACTGAGCTATTCATGTTAAAAAAGTTTTCCTTCCTAATTGCCAGTTTCTTTGTATTTAAGACACTTCAGGCTGTCACAAATCCAATATCGATGGTGCGCTATATATGGATAGTTAGAATGTATGGAAACCTATGTCTTATACATTTCAAGTTATACTCAGTGATCCAATAGTCTCACTCTGGCACTACTTCCTAGAGAATGATGTATTTCTGAAAGTGTTATCCAATACTTATTAAGCTGTCAATGAAAGTTATTTTTGTTGATATAAATATTGACTTTTGCACTTGTGTTCTTCTCACTCTCAATGTCGTCTTCAGGAAGTGCTGATTTGAATGTGAATTAGCGGCAGTCTGCGTCTATTTCTCGTCTATATTGATTCTCTCGTGACTCAGAACACACCAATCGCAACATTTGAAAACCACTAAACAACAGTTAAAACTTGCAATTGCTACGTCTATTAACTATAGAATTCTGTTACAGACACATTACTTTGTATTTTGTGTTTGATTTATATGCTGGTTCATTGTTAATTTAGTCCTATTAATCGACCTGTCTGTGTATTTGACATGCATTATTTATATACTGTCATTTGGAATTACTTGAGACAAATCACTTCTGAAAATAATTATCAGTCCTATGGGGAATTTCAAAAAGTTCTGAAAAAATGAAAGTTGCGAAATGATGTACATGTATAGCACAAGGAAACAATGTCTAACACTCCATTCAACCCACATTTATTTGGCTTCTTTGGCTTTACCACTTAATCCTCCTTCCGATCTCACAAATCAGCTTAAAATGAAGTGACATTACTTACACCCTGATACAGCTGAGTTCTCTGCAAACAATGTTAATCTTAACAAGTACAGTCGTGTTGTAACAATGGACATAAAATATCTTTATGGCCTTTAGAGGAAGCACAAGAAATAAAGAGTGTCAAAATCAAAAGAATCAAAATCAAAAGAAAAGTAAAAACAAATGGGCAACAATCAGGAATCAAAGACCTAATATGGCCCATAAAGTAAACACAAATTCAAACGATCAGTAGAACTAATCTCTTCAAATCATAAAGTTTTTGACACTTGGCTACAAGCCTTAATAATCTCATGCTTTATGTACTTTCAGATGTGACATCTATGCTTGTTGTTGTTGTGGTAGAAGACTTACCTTCAGTTGTTGTTGCTATAGTCACAGAGTCTGTTGCTAGGGTACTAGATTCATCTTCAGTTGTTGCTAAAGTAATTGAGTCAGTTACTACAGTAGTAGACTCATTTTCAGTTGTTGCTAAAGTAACAGAGTCAGTTACTAGGGTAGTAGACTCATATTCAGTTGTTGTTAAGGTAACAGAGCCAGTTACTAGGGTAGTAGATTGACTGACAGTTGTTTCCATAGCAGCTGTTGTAGGATCAGGAACAAACATTGTAGTCTCATTTACTGAAAGAACATTTACATTTGTGAAGGAACATATACATAAATAAATACAGTACCAAATAAAATAGGATATGACCAATGGAAATTACCTAAGGCTAATATAGATAATAACCAGAACAACGGCAACGCCAAAGCGTACCGAATCCCATCGAACAGAAATGGCTGGCATTTTTACAAACGAATAGCAAATATCATAAAACAACACACCAGAAAGGCCACCATTTTCAAAATGGTTGCTCACTAGCCAAGTTGTCATCAGGAAGAAATAATATGCTTTTAAGTAGCCACCTCTCAAATATTTGAAAAATCGCACACGTACTTGTAAAATAACACACATAAAAATGGTGGCCATTTTTCAAAATGGCCGACTACTCCCCAAAGTTTTATTAGACAATGTGCCATGCTTAAAGTATTTACATATCAAATATGAACAAAACGCTCCACTACTTTTCGAGTTATAGTAAAATCGTTAAAATGGCGGCCATTTTTCAAAATGGCCACCTTCTACCAAAAGTGTCATTAGAAATAGACAGTTTTCAAAATGGTCGTCTTCTACCAAAAGTGTCATAGGAAAATGTGCCATGCTTATAGTATTCACATACCAAATATGAACAAATCGCGCCCATTTTTCAAAATTTTTTACAAAATGGCCGCCTTCTACCAAAAGTGTCATAGGACAGTGTGCAATGCTTATAGTATTGACATACCAAATATATACAAAATCGCTCCACTATTTTTTGAGTTACAGCAAAAATCGTAAAATGACGAGTAAAGGCCGCCATTTTTCAAGATGGCTGCCATGTGCTTCTTAAATATCTACATTTGTAGCATTATTATTGTCCTTTATAATTTTTTTACATTTAAAACATATTGCTATTACAGTTTTACATATTGCACCTAAATTACTGTAAAATCGGCACTAAAATGGCCGTCATTTTGAAATGAGCGGCCATTTTGAAAATCGGCTTTCGAGCAGAACTTCTACCCCCATAAGCTATATTTGTACAAAATATGAACAAAATCGGGCCAACGGTTTTGAGTTATTGCCCGGACGGACAGACGGACGGACGTACGTACGGATGTACGTACGGACGGATGGAGGCGTTCCCTATATCCCTCCGAACTTCGTTCGAAGGGATAAAAACACAAAATAGCAATTTCAATTATAAAAATTTATGCTCAGATAAATGTACCCTAAATTCTCTTAATTGTGTTAAAAGAGAAAAAATTAAGAATTTCTTTACAGATAACAAGATAATAGTGAACAAAATAGCTACCTTGTTAATTACCCAACTGCAAACATTCTAATAAGATCACAGTTACTACAAAAACATATTGACATAGACTTATATATGAAAGATGATTTTCTTAATTAAAATATTATTGATCACAACATACCTGTACATATGATAAGTCACAATAATTGCACCATTATTCTAATAAACAGATAAACCATTCCACAGCTTACGTAAAAACAAACAATTATAATATCATTTTAAGCCAAATTCAATATTGTAAATTGGCAAACTATTGAAGACTGAAACACTTCCACATCCTTTTTTCTATTAGGATGAGGATATCCCTTCTATCTATTGTTTCAAAAAGGATATCAGATTTCCTGGTATCCAGCTATAGAAATTCTAACAACAATCTGCGTCATAAACTTTGTAATAAATGACACTCCCTCATGGCCTTCGGATATCTATTGTCAACTCTGAATGCCGACCACTGGACTCTGAACACCATCCACAGAAATGTTTTAGAGTATTACAATTTCACCACTTCTGGTGGTGACGGTGGTGACATAATAACTGCATACAAGAGGTAATGAGAAAATAATATGAAGATGTGTTTATTACTCACAGCAGGTGACATTGATTCTTGGTTCCACATTCCATTGGTTATCTCCCCAATAGGTCCAGTTCTTAGTCAGCTGCGCATCTTCTGGGTTCACTACATGGCTGTACACTGAGACAAATGCACCATTAACCCCAAGGGTGTTCCCAATCATCCAGTAACCTGACCAACAAAAGATTAGTATCATCATTTGAAACAAATGCAACACAATTCAAGTGACCAACAAAAGATTAGTATCATCATTTGAAACAAACGCAACACAATTCAAGTGAACAACAAAAGATAAGTATCATCATTTGAAACAAACGCAACACAATTCAAGTGAACAACGAAAGATAAGTATCATCATTTGAAACAAACGCAACACAATTCAAGTGAACAACAAAAGATTAGTATCATCATTTGAAAAAAATGCAACACAATTCAAGGTACCTCTTTTAGGTCAAAATAAGTTTTTTTTAAAAATGGTTATAAATTGGTTAAATCATTTGTCAAGACCTGGGAAAAATCACTGGAAAATATTTCGGGAAATTGGTATTTTATAAGGCTGGGAGGAATAAAACATGGAAACCTTCAATCTTGAGAGGAAATTGAAATGGAAAAAAGCTCAAAAATGGGGTCTTTGGCGTGGCACATAGGTATTAAGAAGTATATTGGAGTGAAACCACAGGCATATAATCATTCTGTAGACTGGATGCCTGTGTTTTATCAGACATACATTGTAGATGATGACACATTAATGTTATTTAATGATTATTTATCCAATGTCTAAATCAACATTAATACAGGATATTGATAAAATGCACTTTAGAGCAATTCTTGTTAAAAACTACTCAAGGGTACTCAGGTTGAGGTCAATGTGTAAAGATATCTGTCTGTTGAAGCAGGAATGGTGACATACTGGGTGTCCCAAAAAATTGTACCCAAATGAAATGGGAATAACTTTTTTTACCTTCATCAAAAAAGCTGGACTTTTCACATGATTAGCAGTTGACATCACTCACAGAGTACACTTTTTGGAAAATACCTGTACCCTGCATTTAAGAGGATTCATAAGCAGAGCATATTATACGAGGGTTGTCCCAGAAGTAATGCACTATATGCTCTAACTTTATCACTAATTGATATTTTTCCATGAAATCTTCAGATACATTTTGATTATTCTACAATTTTTCATGTTGATTAATAAAAATATACTGATGTTATAATAAAATCAAGTTGGTGAGTTTGGGTAGGGCGGGGCAGGTTAACCAGTCACATCAAAAGGAATAAAAAATTTAAAATATGAAATAATTAATCAACAAATACCATTTTGTGTAGCTATAAGAACTATGCTAAAAAATACATTTTAAGAAACTTAAAACTACTATGAGCACCTCCTCTAGATTTAATGAAAGTATATTGCACGTGTCTCATTTCACATTTTCTCAAAATATTGCCCTTTTCATGTTATGTACTTTTGATGCCTGTCAGGTCAAACACTCTTAGTAATTTCTTCCACTGTGACTTGTGGAGTTTTTGCCTCCCATGTTTGGAACTTTCATCCAGGGTCTAGTAATCTCTTTTAAATCTCTTCTGCCACCTCATAATTGTACTTCTATCTGGTATATACTCCTTTTATACTTTGTTCATGGTAGCATACGTTTTGCGTGGCTGTGAGTCCAAGTGAAGTATGAAATTAGGCCACCAAACGTAAGGCCTTCTGATATCAGGTGAGAATTGCAGCCATTTTTGCAATTTCTTGACTGTGACTGATTTTGAATTTGTGACAGTGCTAAATGTCATTATTTGTACTTGATTAACATCATGCTGAATAAATGTAACAATTTCCCAAACATTTTGATCATTTAAAAGAAAGAAATATTAATAAAACAACACTTTGGATCTTTCCATAATTAGAAAAATTGGTACCTGCCCCGCCCACCCCTACCCCCATGTTGCTATAGCAACCATATTAAGACTTAATATTAATCTTTGATGCTGAAACATCAGGATATGATAGATAAAACTTCAATTGTTATATACACAAAATTTCAGCTGAATTGAAGAACATTAAAGAAAGTTAGAGTATATTCGAACATGACTGTATTCACGCCTTCTATAAACTGTAAACAAAGTCAACATTTCACCCGGGGTATATTCGCGAACAATACCCTTGGTATATAACGCCGGGCCCTAGTAATGGCAGACCATAATAAATATTTGAAATGTCATTTTGGGGAGTTTTCATGTTCAATCGTAATATAGACCTCAGAGCAGGGGTAATATCATTGAATACACCCCTTAGGGCAAGGCACAAAAGCCAGTTATAACTGTAGCTCTGTTTATGTTTAATGACTTTCAGAATAAGGGATGGAACCCATAATTTCGAACATTTATCATAGAATCCTTCTATAAAGCACAAAATGCATTTCAAACTATCTCCTTCACGACAGATAATGTTTGTTTTGATATCAAACAAACCTCCTACTAACATAACATTCTAAATAGCTAAGTATTGTAACAGGGAAAATTACACTGACGAAGACTTTGAAGATGAACTTCTTTAGCGGTCAATTATCCTTAATTCAACAAAAGTTAACAAATGCCATAATGGAAAATGTACTTAAGGAAGAATAAAATGCAAAAACATAGAATATTTTTTTCTAAGTAGCAGGATTGACCTAGGGACCGGAGAGACTTGAGGCATTACATACAATATTGTACCTCAATTGATCTTACGGTATACATTGTATCATTGACAATGAACTCGCTCACATATGCATAGTACCCCAGATATCCATTTGAGAATACAGTATTGATATATCTGGCTATCCTTTCTTAATCTTATTAGGAGGCCCTCCTGAAAGGGCCTCCTATAGCTTTTGTAGCTTTTCTTTATTTATTTATTTATTCTTCTTATTATTATTCTATCAAAGCAGTTTTCTCCTACTTTCAACTAGCTTTCATTATTTTCTGGATTTTTTTGAAGCTTTGGAAATTTCTTAAAGAAGAGAGAAAAATTGTCATTATAAATTCTCGAAGCTTCAAAATGAGTCAGAAACTGTTAAATTTGAGAAAGGATAGTCAGATTTATAACAAGATTCTCAAATGTCTGTCTGGGGTACTATCTATGTAATATTTTGTATTCATATACATTGCAATTAAACACAAAGATAAAAATGTGCATGGGTACAGGAAAAGGGCCACGAGTCTTATCACAGAGTTTTTCAATACTTTGATTTTTTGTTTATCTCAAAAGGTACAAAGAGTGAAGAGAGCCATGGCTTATGTCCATTCTCCTTGCAGATGTAGACCAAAAAGACAGATTTGAATTTGCACATTTTCGTCTTAATCTTGGGAACATTTTTGGCTCTTCTCAATTAAAATTTTTATAATAAGACCAGTTTTCCTGTGTTAAGGCTCAAATATTTGTTTTACTACTGATCATCCTGTTGATGGAAAAGTGTTTGATATGACCTAGGTTGTGGCCAAACACACAAAAAATAAATAAATCTTTATTGATGAATATTCGTACATACCATACTCATGGAAGTAGAGGTATTTTTCCCAGGTACGAGAGAAGACAGCCGGCCTATCATTGTGCATAGAGTGGAATATGTACACATCCCCAATGTAGCCTGATATAGCAATACCTGGTGGCACCTCCACGAGCACCTCAATGCACACTCCAGGGAAACTGGCTGCAAATATAATGGGAGAATTTAACTTATATTCTAAAGCAAAAACATTACCATACAAAATTTGAACAAAATCTGATAACTGCATGGTAAACAAAATAATTACTTTTTTGTGTGAAATGAGCCATCATGTTGAAAACTCATTCTCTAAGCAGAGGTTCTATGCCCATATAAGGCATTAGTATATAAAATTCAAACTGAATCTGTCAAAAGGTATTTGTGTTAATGTCAGGATAGCCATATGGATGAATTCATAAATGGACAGACAGAAGACTTCTCATTATCCCTACTCAAACTTGGTGAGATAATAATTAAAAAATGATCAAACTGACCTCACATTCTCAAACCTTTTTGACAATTTTATCGTGAAGGAGTCGGAAAAATAATGATTTAACATGCTTTCCAAAAGTTTCCCTTCAGTTATAGTTTCATACATATGAAACAGTCTCTCATTTTGTTCATAATGAAAGACTGTTTCCAAACCCAAAAATATCCATATGTTATAAGTCCATATATTGCTGGTTTAGACTAATGTGTTTTAGAATTGTCATAAAGATGACATCATAATTCTGATTGAAGGGAAAAGCAATGAAAGACTATTTTTTAAATGAACTAAAGAGTATAGAGATGATCTGAGAGGAACCTTAAACAATACATTGATACAAAAATATCACCACCTGCCATTTGTTACAGATGCTGACCACAAAACACTAACCACCGAACACCATCCACAAAAAGTTGAAGACTATAAGTAAATAAATAAAAAATTGTCACAATTTCACAAAATTTTGTACTCTCATAATTCCATGTCATGCCTACTTTCTAAAAGGTTTATTGATTGTTATATTGTTATACTCCTCGAGTGTTTATCTCAACATGCAACCTCACCAAATACAATGTTAGCTATATAATTTCAACAGCTCTTTTACAATAGTATAATAATTGTATATATTAATGTATACAAATATGTTTAGTCCTTATGACATGAAAAAGTTTCTAAATGGAGTGACTTTAACAAATGGCTCACTGTATACCATTTTAATGTATCAAAAATTAAATTCTGTTTTTTATTATTTCACCCACTGTGCTTCAACAGACTTTTTCTTACATATTTATAATATTACACAAAAATATAATATTATGATTGAAAGAATCTTAAAAAATGACAAGGTGTATAACAATTCCACAAATACAAAATTTTTAAAGTTCGTTATTTGTCAAGTCAATCAATTTGCAAAAAGTCCTTGAAAAAGAGAGAAACCTACGTCCCAATCAACACAACTGATGAACAACAATGTAAATGAAACTGACATGAAACACTTCTCCACACTCAGAAAATCCAAATTTGGAGCTTCGAATGCAAAATATTGATGAATACATCAGCATGCAACCAAGTAGTATAAATGATGAATATTTGACAGACAGACAATTGCTGATGGTGTGATGGGACACATACATGGGGGACATAACATAATTTAGAATTACAAATGATATGGAAGGAATTTATTGAACAATATGAAACAAAAGTAAATATTGAGTTACAAATGAATAAAAAAAATATTGAAAATACTGTATGTATGTATTTATGTATGTACATGTAATGAACATGAAAAAAATAGATCTAAATCAATACTTTCTCAAAATATGTTTATATACACATTAGAAGATTAGAAAAATATGAAATTTCCAATTTTTTCAGATTTATCAACTACATGAACATAAATTCAAAGAACTTCAAGCTACTAGATGGAGAAGGTGTCAGTGTAACTTCTTTGTATAAATATATATGACCTATCTTGAGTACGACTCAAAATTGACTCAAAAATCCTAAATCAAAAGTCTATCATTGCTTTGTTAGTCTAACGATGATATAAAGGCTAATGGTAATAAAATCCATCTTCTAAGCTGGACAGTCATTTTCATCAACTTCCATCCACTGATTCATTATTTTGACATCATGTGTGACATCATTTACAAACACACATTGACCATGAATGAATTGTGCAGTCAACTGTTAGAATTATTGACTGCTGCTTGTCCAATCAGAATCACAGTACTTAACTGAAGTACTAACTACAATGGTTGAACAATATGGAACATAAATTAATAGATAAATCAAAAAATATTTAATGATTGGATACATTACAATTAAAACATTGATCTTGCAAGATGTTTAAAAAGAAAAACTTTCAATCTTACCAGACAAGACACATGGTATCAGGAGTATGACGTATTCCAGGTATATACTCCACAGTGTAGCTTTTTTTCTCAACATTTTCACAATTGTAGTCCAACTCAAATCTTATCACTAATCAATTCAATTAATTGTCAAACATTTAGTCAACAATATATCTTTTAAGTGTGCCACTTTCATTCTTCACATCTATAACATGTTTGTTCTGCTGTATAAGTCAACAAATAATTAATTTAATTCATCAATAAGTTCCCATCAGTAATTGTGAATTTCGTCATTTTTAAATGACACTTAAAACTGTCAAATTCAATACCGATGTTGCACTTTAAAAAGCAATAAATTGGCAATATATGTAAGAAAACATCATATATTGTCTCATACAAGTTATAATTAGTGATCTTCTTAATTTTCTCACTCACGAAATTTCACTTAGCTTAACTGTTTTGAAATGATGTCTAGGTGAAAGTGTTATCCGATACTTAATAAGCTATCAATGAAAGTTATTTTTTGTTGATGTAAATATTGACTTTTTGCACTTTGTCCTCACTCGCCACATCATTAATGTAGGAAGTGATCGTTTCAATGTAAATCAACTAAGTTTATGTCTATTGATTTCTCTGTGATAATACTAAACTGATAGAGATGATCTGAAAACATTAAGCCAAACATTTAAAAACTATCACACAACATTTAAAACCATTGATTTCTACTTCTATAGACCAGAAAATTCTATCACGAACCATTGACTTTCAAGAGCGAAAACACATTTCTTTATTTCTATGAATGTTCATCTCTCTGGTAGTGATGTACTATTAACGAGTTGTTGATTTTCTTTCTCAATTTTTGATTCAAATATAATTTTATTTCTGAAGAAGTAGGATGGACATCCTACAAAACGTCAAAAGAAAAATAAATATCTCTGAGAAAGAAAATCAACAACTTCGTTAATAGTACATTACTTTATATTTTGTATTGGATTTGTATGGTTTTTACGACCCTGCACGCAGAGTCTAGTTATAAACTACCCTCTGCCTAGTATAGACTATATTACAGTTTAGCAGCCCCACCCCAAAGATTGGTGCCTGTGACAGCCCGGGTAAAAAATCATTTCAAATCTACCACACTGACCCTTTCTCAACCAATCAACAAATTAGAAGGAAGACATGCTAAATACGTGCTCATTAACTATGCAATTATGTCATAGGAAATGACCATATAGAAAGTCGTCCGTATTTTGACGATGAACACTGATTGGCTCGGTGAGATCAGAGATTTATGGTAAACTGAAAGAGTAAAGACGAAGCTCTCTTTTAAGAAGTGAAGTCAAACGAATGCAAAAGGTAGGGTTTTATCGGTTATTTAGTCCAACTAATAGGCCTGCACTATGTATTTGATGTCAATTATTTATAGCACTACTGGAATTAATTTCTGTATGATTTATTGTATTGGAAACACTTCACTATAGTTTTACTTTCAGAACACAATAGTCTAACAAGAACGTGAAGTGTGCAATACATCCTCAGATTTGTGTATATCTGCATTACCAGAAACATCTTGAACTTGTAATTGATCTAATTTGTTTTTCTAGGAGCAGAATAACAATTTCAAGAGCATCACACAGTGTTCACCATATCACACCCTTGAGCCATACACCTCCAATCTGTACATTAAGAGTATGATACTGGATGGTACCATTCAAGACAAGTACTGTACATTAAGAGTATGGTACTGCATGGTACTGTTCAAGACAAGTACTGTACATTAAGAGTATGATACTGGATGGAACCGTTCAAGACAAGTACTGTACATTAAGAGTATGATACTGGATAGTACCATTCAAGACAAGTACTGTACATTAAGAGTTTGATACTGGATGGTACCATTCAAGACAAGTACTGTATATTAAGAGTATGATACTGGACAGTACCGTTCAAGACAAGTACTGTACATTAAGAGTATGATACTGGATGGAACCGTTCAAGACAAGTACTGTACATTAAGAGTATGATACTGGGTAGTACCATTCAAGACAAGTACTGAACATTAAGAGTATGATACTGGATGGTACTGTTCAAGACAAGTACTGTATATTAAGAGTATGATACTGGGTAGTACCATTCAAGACAAGTACTGAACATTAAGAGTATGATACTGGATGGTACTGTTCAAGACAAGTACTGTACATTAAGAGTATGATACTGGATGGAACCGTTCAAGACAAGTACTGTATATTAAGAGTATAATACTGGATGGTACCATTCAAGACAAGTACTGTACATTAAGAGTATGATACTGGATGGAACCGTTCAAGACAAGTACTGTATATTAAGAGTATAATACTGGATGGTACCATTCAAGACAAGTACTGTACATTAAGAGTATGATACTGGATGGTACCGTTCATGACATGTACTGTACATTAAGAGTATGATACTGGATGGTAATATTCAAGGCAAGTACTGTACATTAAGAGTATGATACTGGATGGTACCATTCAAGACAAGTACTGTACATTAAGAGTATGATACTAAATGGTACCATGGGCATGCAATAGAAAGCCCATGATGGTACTGTCCAAGTAAGGTACTGTATAGTTTTCACGGTACTGGGTAATACTGTTTTAGTCTACAGTACTTACAGTACCATATTTTATGGAACCATACAGAACTGTAGCCAAAATGGTACTGTAAGGTAGGTACTGTTGGAGATTGGCTGTGTTCATCAATGTATTACTTGTATGTAGCCAATACCTACACTAAAAGGAAAGCCTATACCAAAGTTTGACAAAGGACAAGACTTTGGAAACAAG